CCGATCTAGGATTATTCTTCGCTCTTCTGCCGTGCCTACAGTCTTTAAAACGACCAGATCTAGGGTCATTATTCGTTCTTTTGCCGTGCCTACCGATCTAGGATTATTCTTCGTTCTTTTGCCGTGCCTACCGATCTAGGATTATTCTTCGTTCTTCTGCCGTGCCTACAGTCTTTAAAACGACCAGATCTAGGGTCATTCTTCGTTCTTCTCCCGTGCCTACCGATCTAGGATTATTCTTCGTTCTTCTGCCGTGCCTACAGTCTTTAAAACGACCAGATCTAGGGTCATTCTTCGTTCTTCTCCCGTGCCTTCCGATCTAGGATTATTCTTCGTTCTTCTGCCGTGCCTACAGTCTTTAAAACGACCAGATCTAGGGTCATTATTCGTTCTTTTGCCGTGCCTACCGATCTAGGATTATTCTTCGTTCTTCTGCCGTGCCTACAGTCTATAAAACGACCAGATCTAGGGTCATTCTTCGTTCTTTTGCCGTGCCTACCGATCTAGGATTATTCTTCGCTCTTCTGCCGTGCCTACAGTCTTTAAAACGACCAGATCTAGGGTCATTCTTCATTTTTCTGCCGTGCCTTCCGATCTAGGATTATTCTTCGCTCTTCTGCCGTGCCTAGTCTTTAAAACGACCAGATCCAGGGTCATTCTTCGCTCTTCTGCCGTGCCTACAGTCTTTAAAACGACCAGATCTAGGGTCATTCTTCGTTCTTCTGCCGTGCCTACCGATCTAGGATTATTCTTCGCTCTTCTGCCGTGCCTAGTCTTTAAAACGACCAGATCCAGGGTCATTCTTCGTTCTTCTGCCGCGCCTACAGTCAGCAACCTATTTCTTTATATGTCAGCATGACAGTCCACAAGGATGTTTGTTTTGTTTTTTTATCTCCGTGTATTTCATGTGGTGACATGTTTTTTACATGCAGGTACTAAATCGTTTCTCAGCTTTTGTAGTTTCTGTAGTTTCTGCCACTCAAGTTTCCTTTCTGACAGTTCAAAAACAAAAGTTGCTATCTATCTTGTAATTTGGTGCTATGTCTAGCAAAATATTATTCTTCATACACATAAGGAAGCCTGACATTACCTCCAATATTTTTTCAAATCATGAATGTTTGGACTTGACCTCGTACCGTGATCACAATCCATGTTTTCAAGGCTCACAATCAGCTTCCTGAATCCGCTGGTTGCTGGTTCTGGTCGCCCCGACGATGAACCTTGTTTCGAAGCACTCAGACAATATTCCTTGGTTTGGATGACCCAACAATAAGCGTTGTGATCACCTTGATCATGATCCCCAATTCGGATCACTTTGCTAAGCACCCTTGGTTCGGATCGTCACTACGATCCCCAATTCGGATCACTTTGCTAAGCACCCTTGGTTCGGATCGTCACTACGATCCCCAATTCGGATCACTTTGCTAAGCACCCTTGGTTCGGATCGTCACTACGATCCCCAATTCGGATCACTTTGCTAAGCACCCTTGGTTCGGATCGTCACTACGATCCCCAATTCGGATCACTTTGCTAACAACCCTTGAATCGGATCGTCACTGCAATGATCCCTGATTCAGGCCACTTTGACCTGTAATGACAGGGTGATGTTACCACCTGGTTAAAAAGTACAAATACACGTATACTATACTGCACCAACAGATCAACCTTATTCATTGCTGTAGATCTACAACTCAACAAAAGAGTGCAAATGTTTTCAAACAAAAACAATTTATTTCACATGAGTTGAAACAGAGACATCAACACCTTATTCCACAAAACTGATCACTACAAATCTACATAAACAAACCTACTATCCCAAAGCACTAACAATGGCACCAAATGTTTTAAGTCTCAACTGCCCATTTCGGGTGAATTTGAACATGGTTTAACGCTGCTTTCAACAGTTTTTCAGTTATGCAACAAAATCTTCATATAGGATGATGGCCCAATGAGCTTCTGCGACTTAGACAGTCACCCAGGTATTGAGCAGACACCGACTTAGACAGTCACCCAGGTATTGAGCAGACACCGACTTAGACAGTCACCCAGGTATTGAGCAGACACCGACTTAGACCGTCACCCAGGTATTGAGCAGACACCGACTTAGACAGTCACCCAGGTATTGAGCAGACACCATCAGAAGGAATCTGAGATTCAAGCTTCTAGAATGCCTAAAGTTCGTTGCAAATCAACTTGCTAAGATTGTCAATAATCCCTTTAGTCAGGTATTATTTATGCTCGAGTTCAAAAACAAGCAATAATACAGACTGAAAGGGGTAATCCAGAGGTTGATATTCTGAACCACATTGTCAGGGTACGATGACAAGTCACCGAGTGGTCCAACAGACTAGCATTTGGGGCAAATACTAAAATGGGTGTCTTACAGAAATTCAGCCACTTCAGTTCACAGACTTGAAAACAAACAGAACTTTAATACTGAAATGATGACCCACCGAATTTTGACTTAAACCTATACCTTAAATCTATAGGCCATAACAAATGATTTATCACCATTCATCTCACTACACAACCCCACCCCACCCAAATGGTTACCCGAGTTCCCTTCCTATATTTGATGACATACACCTACAAGGGATTATCCCTGCTTCTGGAGACATCATCAAGCATGAATCTAACTGTAAGAATAAGGGGGATATATTTTCTCTCGAATCTATTGTCACTTTGGCACTTAAAAACGTTTTGTTAGTTTTTTTAGGGCAGAAGTTAGTGAGTGAGCATGTTTAGTTAACGCAGCTCATAGCAATATCATAAGGGGGAGGGGAGACACCAGAAATGGGCTTCACACATTGTACCCAGGTGGGGAATCGAACCCAGGCGAGACAAGCAAACTCTTTAACCACAAGGCTACCCCATCGCCCCTTTTTTGTTTATAAGAGACGACACAAAGGATTAGTAAACACATCCAAATAAAGTTCAACTTAACATCCAAAGTCACGTAACACTCATATTCATTTCAGCAAACAAGCAACCTGTTACATGGAAACTCCCTGTATATTACTACAAATAGTTCATAACACCAAAACTTCGCCATGCTGTTTCTAAAACAGTATTTCAGTGATTTGTTGCACTTCCAGAAAAAAATATTGTTTTTCCCCTGGAAAGAGGAGCCAACATATCCTCATCACCTGAATTAGGCAGAATTGCTGAATTAATACTCAACATAGTTCAATTATAACTCATTATTCTCGAAAAGAAAGAAGTGCCATGCTATTACCAGACATAACTAGACTACAAACAAATGTTGCAGGTCATTAATGGCTATTGTTCCAATGCATTAAGTACATAAGTTATCACAAGTGATGGAGGAAGTGTCACATGACTTGCACCATAGATCACATGATGGGTCACATGACTTACTGTAACTTTATACACAATGAGACAAGCTCACAGAGATCTCATGACAGTATGTCCCAGTATTGGAGCTGTGTGGTGTATGAGTCAATGGTGGTAGCAAAGGAATCAAAGTTGCAATTAAAATAATTAAATTAGTTGCTTTTACAACATCAATCAGTCCACAGAACTCTCCTTGTTGTTCAACGTCAAGCAGGTTTTTAAACATTCAAAAATTAATGTATGGAGAGGGTGTTTCATTGTAAAAGAGAGAATTGAAAGTCTGATCACACTATCTGTAGTTGAAGTGAACACAAAGACATTCATAAGCAGGGTGAGTGAGTAAATGTTCAAACTACAGACATACACACATAAGGTATCAGTGGTTCCAAGGTCACCATGGTAACATTCATATCAAGGATTTCAAGGCAAACTTCACCAAGTTTAACAAGGTATGAGTGTCACCATGGTTACCAAAGCATCCATGTCACCAATGTGTTACCAAGGTTACCATTATGTAAGGCACTTTAAGGGACAACCACCTGCATAATTTCATTACATGATTTTCATTAGACACATCATCATTGACAGCTGACGGTAAATGCGACATCTCGCAACAAAATTTCAAACAGTACGGTTCCTGCCACAGTAATATGAAACCAATCAGACAAGAATCCTCGCAAATAAGAAAAAACAAACAGTCTACACTGACTCTCAGAATTTCTGAACACCATTCCATCTCCACGGAACTTCTATAAAAGCATCTATGTTCAACCAAATTTGAACAAAAAAATTCAACAAATGTCATAAAAAATACACTGCTCTCACTTACAACTTGGCTAAAGAACAACACAGAAGACTTTCAAAATAGAAGACATCAGATGCGCTGGTTCACAGTGGTTTGAATGCGTAGCTTAGTTGTACCCACAGGGTTGGAAATAACCCATTGCCCGAAGCCTGAGTCCAGTGTTTTTTTCTGTTGGGCAAGCAAATTTGTATATCACACTGTACCGGTGTCCAGTTGACTTTCCAATATTAATCATGTTGTTTATTTAAAAAATCAACAAGAAAACGGCCAGTATAGTGGGAAAATTATCAGGGCAAGTGATTTTACATGTGCCACTGTACCGGAGTACACTAGCAATTTTAAAGTTATTTCCACCCCTGACCCAGAATGTATTGATGCTGATTGTGGGACTGCCCACCTGACCTCAGATCTTCACACTGATCATAACATCTTGTCCTCTTAACTGGACGGGGTGTCACACCATGATTTGAACCCATCCAAGATGAGGAGATAATAAGACCTGACATTTCTTTACTAACCAGTCAAGCAAAATTCAATCTGAGTGAGTATGGTTTTACGCTGCTTTAAGCAATATTCCAGCAATATCACGGCGGGGAACACCAGATATAGGCTTGACACATTGTACCCATGTGGGGAATCGAACCCAGGTCTTCAGCATGATGAGCGAACACTTAACCACTAGGCTACCCTACTGACCCTCAGTTCAATCTGAAAGATACTTGTGAATGTCACACCTTGTCTTAATTTGCCCAGTTGACAAGAACACCTATCAGACATTGATGGAAGGAAACAGTTCCATCAATCATTCAATGGAAGTCAAATCTGACAACAGAAATCGAAATAACACAAATATTTTCTTTTTTTTACATAAAGTGTGTCGCATGTATTAATAGCACTTCAACAATTCTCACAGTGATTCATTAAGATTCAATCATTCAATGGAAGTCAAATCTGACAACAGAAATCGAAATAACACAAATATTTTCTTTTTTTTACATAAAGTGTGTCGCATGTATTAATAGCACTTCAACAATTCTCACATTGATTCATTAAGATTCATACATCAGAGTAAAACATTCAATGAAATTCAACCTCATCGCAAACAGTCATTAACATCATTTATGTAACCATGGTAACAAGATAGTTCAACCCAAAACAAAGAATTGTAATATTAAAAGAAACTGGTCCCTCACAAAGTAAGATTCTCACATTTGGAAAATGGTCATGATATGAATTAATGAATTGAATGAATAAAAATATCTAAAACGTTACAATTCTTCTTTTGCCTTTTTACCGAGAGAGGAGGCATTCTCTTCGAGATATTTGCTAAAGTCTTCCACCTCACGCCCCTCCTCGTACTTAACCGGTTTCGAATCTCCAGACCGAACAAAATATATTGTCGGAAATCCTTCGACCTTGAAGTCATCTGGGACGTCATTGGCCGTGGCGTCCATCTTTGCTATGACAAGCTGTTTTGCAGACTTGTACTTTTTGGCGAGCTGTTTGTACTTTGGTTCGAGAGATTTACAATGGCCGCACCAGGGGGCGTAGAATTCAATAAGGACATCTTTACTGTTGTCTCGTACAATCTTGTCGAATGTCTTGCCCACAACAGTGATCACTGGTCCCTGTTTCTTAGGAACAGGCTGAGACTTGATGATTGGGTCGATCTTGCCTGAAAAGACAAACATGCTGTTTATGTTTTATGATGACAAGTGTTTCACGTTTTGGGCAGGAAAACAGAAGACACGGAACCAAGCTTATGTTTAATCACCAAAATGTATTCCTGTGATACCAGAACAGCTGATCACGAAGTGAAGGAACATTTATACTGTCGCCTTCGTGACTCTCTGATGCCAAACTGGCCTGTATATCAGGGCTAGATTTAAGAGGGGTTAACCTACTTGCACTAGGTGCAATCTAAGATAAAAACATAGTTGCACCAGCCAAATTCCAGTTGCAACACAGTGTGTTAAAACGTCAGAGGTTTCAGTGCACATAAACATATTTCCATGATGTAGTACCTATGAAACCATAGCAACACAGAGACACAGATGATCCCTGTTTACAAGAGCTGAAATAGCCGAAACGTGTATATGAATAGCAATATTTCAGCCCCATTTGCTATTCAAAGTTTAGAAGAAAAATTAGCGGACATGTGTATGCTTATGATGTTAGATTTATTGTTGATTTATTTCTCAAAAATTGACTTAAGGTGCAAGTTAAGACTCATAAACTAGGCTGCACTTTGTAACATTGTGTTGCACCAGTTCAAGTAACAAAGCAATAAATCGAGCCCTGTATATGAAAAACTGATGTTTTTCTGCCCTAGGATACCCACTGAGAGATAAGCCCAGGGCAATGGGGTCCAATTCTGCCCTAGGATACCCACTGAGAGATAAGCCAAGGGCAATGGGGTCCAATTCTGCCCTAGGATACCACCTGAGAGATAAGCCCAGGGCAATGGGGTCCAATTCTGCCCTAGGATACCCACTGAGAGATAAGCCCAGGGCAATGGGGTCCAATTCTGCCCTAGGATACCCACTGAGAGATAAGCCAAGGGCAATGGGGTCCAATTCTGCCCTAGGATACCACCTGAGAGATAAGCCCAGGGCAATGGGGTCCAATTCTGCCCTAGGATACCCACTGAGAGATAAGCCCAGGGCAATGGGGTCCAATTCTGCCCTAGGATACCACCTGAGAGATAAGCCCAGGGCAATGGGGTCCAATTCTGCCCTAGGATACCCACTGAGAGATAAGCCCAGGGCAATGGGGTCCAATTCTGCCCTAGGATACCACCTGAGAGATAAGCCCAGGGCAATGGGGGTCCAATTCTGCCCTAGGATACCCACTGAGAGATAAGCCCAGGGCAATGGGGTCCAATTCTGTCCTAGGATACCCACTGAGAGATAAGCCCAGGGCAATGGGGTCCAATTCTGTCCTAGGATACCCACTGAGAGATAAGCCCAGGGCAATGGGGTCCAATTCTGTCCTAGGATACCCACTGAGAGATAAGCAGAGGGCAATGGGGTCCTATTCTGCCCTAGGATACCCACTGAGAGATAAGCCCAGGGCAATGGGGTCCAATTCTGTCCTAGGATACCCACTGAGAGATAAGCCCAGGGCAATGGGGTCCAATTCTGTCCTAGGATACCCACTGAGAGATAAGCCCAGGGCAATGGGGTCCAATTCTGCCCTAGGATACCCACTGAGAGATAAGCCCAGGGCAATGGGGTCCAATTCTGCCCTAGGATACCCACTGAGAGATAAGCCCAGGGCAATGGGGTCCAATTCTGCCCTAGGATACCACCTGAGAGATAAGCCCAGGGCAATGGGGTCCAATTCTGCCCTAGGATACCCACTGAGAGATAAGCCCAGGGCAATGGGGTCCAATTCTGCCCTAGGATACCCACTGAGAGATAAGCCCAGGGCAATGGGGTCCAATTCTGCCCTAGGATACCCACTGAGAGATAAGCCCAGGGCAATGGGGTCCAATTCTGTCCTGGATACCCCTAGGATACCCACTGAGAGATAAGCCCAGGGCAATGGGGTCCAATTCTGTCCTAGGATACCCACTGAGAGATAAGCAGAGGGCAATGGGGTCCTATTCTGCCCTAGGATACCCACTGAGAGATAAGCCAAGGGCAATGGGGTCCACCTGCCCTAGGATACCACCTGAGAGATAAGCCCAGGGCAATGGGGTCCAATTCTGCCCTAGGATACCCACTGAGAGATAAGCCCAGGGCAATGGGGTCCAATTCTGCCCTAGGATACCCACTGAGAGATAAGCCAAGGGCAATGGGGTCCCAATTCTGCCCTAGGATACCACCTGAGAGATAAGCCCAGGGCAATGGGGTCCAATTCTGTCCTAGGATACCCACTGAGAGATAAGCCCAGGGCAATGGGGTCCAATTCTGCCCTAGGATACCACCTGAGAGATAAGCCCAGGGCAATGGGGTCCAATTCTGCCCTAGGATACCCACTGAGAGATAAGCCCAGGGCAATGGGGTCCAATTCTGTCCTAGGATACCCACTGAGAGATAAGCCCAGGGCAATGGGGTCCAATTCTGTCCTAGGATACCCACTGAGAGATAAGCCCAGGGCAATGGGGTCCAATTCTGCCCTAGGATACCCACTGAGAGATAAGCCCAGGGCAATGGGGTCCAATTCTGCCCTAGGATACCACCTGAGAGATAAGCCCAGGGCAATGGGGTCCAATTCTGCCCTAGGATACCCACTGAGAGATAAGCCCAGGGCAATGGGGTCCAATTCTGCCCTAGGATACCACCTGAGAGATAAGCCCAGGGCAATGGGGTCCAATTCTGCCCTAGGATACCCACTGAGAGATAAGCCCAGGGCAATGGGGTCCAATTCTGTCCTAGGATACCCACTGAGAGATAAGCCCAGGGCAATGGGGTCCAATTCTGTCCTAGGATACCCACTGAGAGATAAGCCCAGGGCAATGGGGTCCAATTCTGTCCTAGGATACCCACTGAGAGATAAGCAGAGGGCAATGGGGTCCTATTCTGCCCTAGGATACCCACTGAGAGATAAGCCCAGGGCAATGGGGTCCAATTCTGCCCTAGGATACCCACTGAGAGATAAGCCCAGGGCAATGGGGTCCAATTCTGCCCTAGGATACCCACTGTGAGATAAGCCCAGGGCAACTGGGTCCAATTCTGCCCTAGGATACCCACTGAGAGATAAGCCCAGGGCAATGGGGTCCAATTCTGCCCTAGGATACCCACTGAGAGATAAGCAGAGGGCAATGGGGTCCAATTCTGCCCTAGGATACCATCTGAGAGACAAGCCCAGGGCAATGGGGTCCACCCCTGCCCTAGGATACCCACTGTGAGATAAGCCCAGGGCAACTGGGTCCAATTCTGCCCTAGGATACCCACTGAGAGATAAGCCCAGGGCAATGGGGTCCAATTCTGCCCTAGGATACCTACTGAGAGATAAGCCCAGGGCAATGGGGTCCAATTCTGCCCTAGGATACCCACTGAGAGATAAGCCCAGGGCAATGGGGTCCAATTCTGTCCTAGGATACCAACTGAGAGATAAGCAGAGGGCAATGGGGACCAATTCTGCCCTAGGATACCCACTGAGAGATTAGCCCAGGGCAATGGGGTCCTATTCTGCCCTAGGATACCCACTGAGAGACATACCCAGGACAAAGGGGTCCAATTCTGCCCTAGGATACCCACTGGTTACTGGGCCCCTATTCTGGGAGATAAACCATGGTATAAGGGACAGTCAAGCAATAAGAATGGGAATCCTTGAGAAGATCCAGCTCTGGACAGACTTCCTGTTGACTGACTGACTGACTGAGTTTGGTTTTACGCCGCTTTTAGCAATATTCCAGCAACATCACGGCGGGGGACACCAGAAATGGGCTTCACACTCCTGTTGACAGGTCAGAGAGACATCTTTGTCTTCTGTACATGACATTACCCTTCTTGTAGTTGTCCAGGAATTCTCGAATGTCATCAGCATCAAAATCTTCAAATGGTTCCATTCGGTACTTCTTCTGCTTGTCGTCGACAATACCAATGTTCATCTCTTCGCCAGACTCTTCAAACTGGAAGTCCTTGATCAGCGGTTCATGGCTTTCCTCATTGGCAATAACAAAGTGTATCTCATTCTTGTAATCCTTGGCAATATTAGCAATCTTCCTTCGCCATATCTGTGTGGCTGAATAGCAAGAAATATCTCATTATAGTCACAAAATAAGGATAGGGACTGAAAATGCATATGACCATTTTAACAAAAGTGTGCAGTTAATGCACAAATATATTCCTCTCACTCTAATACTATGAAATACATAGCAGGAAATGACAATTATGAAAATATTGGGTTTGGTTTGGCGTGGCGTGGCGTGGCGTGGCGCTGTTTGATGTGCCAGTGTGCTGGGGTTACCAGGGGTATGTGTAGACTGTTTTTGCTGTTCCTTAACAATGAAGTTAATTTCAGGAAGTCCAGTCCTGCTGACAATTAATATTTTTTAGTAAATCTGAGGACCAATTATTACTTCTTCCTGTATTTCTTCTGGAACAAATACACTAAATGCTAAATTTCAAGCACCAAAAACGAATAACAAATAATGAACTGTATTGTAGAAGAACATTCAGAAGTGTTGCAGGCCTGAGTTGTAAGTTGGGACCTGGGTTAAAGATGGCTGCAGTTACATAGCAACGCTTTAACCACTAGGCTACCCCACCGCCCCAGTATACCGACCAGAAAAGAAATTGTTTGTATCCAGAATGAAGTCCTAAACCTGTCCTTTGGAGTCGTGTATTTACTTTATAACATCCAAGGCAACATACCCTCTCGGCCATCAAAGCTCCAGTCAACTGTGTAGAAGACAAAGCACAGTGGTTTGATTGTTCCATAGCGTCTTTCTGTCGAGCTGTCGTACGTGCCGACTAGTGGTACCTGATGGGCCTTCACAAACTCGGAGACATCCTCAGATGTCAGCTCATCCTGCAAGTAGCAACGATGACAAAGTTACACCTGGACCAACAAAGCGTCTCAATAACGGACTCTTGACACCAGAACCATGCCCAATCACCTGCTGACTTCACAATCCTGATCACTTACGCCTTATCTGTTGGATCTTACAAGATGCCTAGCCCCTTTCCCGCAAAGTTATCTTTGAGCTTCAGTTGTCTGAAGTTTATGTCTTAAAAATGGGAGTTACAAAGTCTAAGTGCTGAGATTGATTTGTTGAAGTGTGCTTTCATTACCCATAGAGTGAGTGAGTTTAGTTTTATGCTGCACTCAGCAATATTCCAGCTATATGGTGGCGGTCTGTAAATAATCGAGTCTGGACCAAACAATCCAGTGATCAACAGCATGAGCATCGATCTGCGCAATTGGGAACCTATGCCATGTGTCAACCAAGTCAGCAAGCCTGACCACCCGATCCCGTTAGTCGCCTCTTACGACAAGCATAGTCGCCTTTTGTGGCAAGCATGGGTTGCAGAAGACCTATTCTACCCCGGATCCCTTACCCATATCTACAGAACACAACTAATGGAACACAATGAACTAATATGAATCACATCTTCCAATTTACAGTGATATTTTAAAAAATAAAGCTGATGCCCCAAGAACTCATGGTTTTCAAACAAGCTTTCGTGTCCAAGAGAGACCACTCGTGTATACCTTGTTGAGAATGTGCCACTTGGGTTCATACTTGGTGTAGTATCTCTCGGCATTGAAGACCACCACAGACCCTGGGTTCACCTTGTACCGATTCCTGGCCTCGCTCGACAATGTGAAGGCGAAGTTAAAGTCATCCCGCATATCATTGGCTGAAACAAAACACGCTGAATGTAAACAATGTTTCAGTCACATTAATGTTTCACAAAGTGAATCATATCATGACAAAGTGAATCTTTTGGAAAAGTACATCATGACGGTGTATTAAGCCGATTCTCATCAAGTTTAAGTGTATCATGACAAAGTGTGTTGTGACTACAAGTATCAGGACTAAATGTATTGTGACTAAGTGTACTATAACCAGGGTATTTAGAGTTGAAAATATTATATACATTTTATAAATATTTAAGGAAAATTTGAAGTTAAGTTCAGAAGGGTGAATGTACTGGGAAAGTGCGTTGACCAAGCTAACTGAACTGTTATTGATTTACTTTTCTTGGGGGAATAACAATTTCCCTCGATTGACATAAATGAGGGTGAAACGTTCAAACTGGTGTTCCTACACAAATTGGGTGGATGGACATTTGGGATACAGATGGTCAGTTTGGTCAGTTTGTCAATAAAGGGGCATGCATAGGATCTGAAATGATTTTGATTAAGTATCTAGAAGCGTCTACTAGTCTGAGATACTAGTTAGATATGCCAACGTTGGGTTGATGTATGGCTTAAGGATAACTAGAAATGTCATTTTATCACTGGAAGAAATTGATGGTACCAAATAAAGTCTCCGAAAGGGACTAATGAAAGTAACTAATTATCAAGATTGGATATGAGTCATTTCGGAGGAGGTAGGACATCATTTCGGCGGGAGGAGCCCAGAAATTGTGAAGAGAACTAAAAACTAGTTGAAGGAGAGAGAGCGGGGGAGACTGAGCCCTGCTGTTGACTTGAGAGGTTCTCTCTGCATATTGAGAGATTGGCTCAGATGAAATTGTAACTTTAGTAATTGGGAAAGAAACCAACAAGTTCTTCCAGGAGATGTGTTAATCTGTGTTACATGTAAACCAGGACATCTAGGAAATATTTGAGGACCTTTGTGAAAGAATTCATGTTAAAATAAACCGGACTAGAACACCATACTGGACTTATCCTTGATTATCCATCTAGCTACATCATCCCCAGAACCAGAGTGGCTAGACAGATTGCCTAGGTAATAAGGGTACAACACCCCGAAAACCTAAGGTAATAGTACCATGACAAAAAGTATCGTGACCGAGTGTACTGTGACAAAAAGTATCGTGACCGAGTGTACTGTGACAAAAAGTATCATGACTAACTGTACCGTGACAAAATATATCGGGACTAAGCGAACTGTGACAAAATTTATCAGGACTGAGTGTACCGTGACAAAAAATATCGTGACTAAGTCAACTGTGACAAAATGTATCGGGACTAAGTGTACTGTGACAAAAAATATCGTGAATAAGTGTACCTTGACAGAAAGTATCGGGACTAAGTGTACCGTGACAAAAAGTATCGGGACTAAGAGTAACGTGACAAAAATATCATGACTAAGTGTACCGTAACAGAAAGTATCGGGACTAAGTGAACTGTGACAAAAAATATCGTGACTAAGTGTACCGTGACAGAAAGTATCGGGACTAAGTGAACTGTGACAAAAAATATCGCGACTAAGTGTACCGTGACAGTGCTACAACACATTCTGACCTGCATCCTTGTATATCTGGAGTCTGGGGTCATCATTGTTGCTGAAGAAGGCGACAATGCTGATGTCGTCATCACTCATATAGTTGCGAACTGCCTTGTCAGTTTCAAGCTCCTTTGCTGCCTCGCCTTGATGCTGGATCATGTATCCCACAATGCCTTAGGGAGAGGAAGTCAGCAATGATTCAGCAATGAAGGACTTCAAGCAATACTGAGACTTTATGTACATGGAAATGATGCCTTGTTTCGAAACACCAATAAACAATAGTCCCCATGTGTCAGTTGATGTCTGTCTAGTTTTCCTTCTTTGGGACTCTCAGTAAAATATTTTGGACATGAAAACATGTGACAAGCTCAATTTACAACAATAATGCACAATTAATATCATGTGATGTCGTTGCACGTTTTGAAACTTCATGTCTATTATAGATTGGGACTTCAAGAAGAACCCCCAAAACTGACAGCCGGAACTGGATGCCTTACAATACAGGTGTTAGTCATACGTAACATGTAAGGCTGTAACGATTCACTCGCATATTCGGTGAATCGGACCGTAGCCCTTCATGAATTCAATTCGTTATTCGTGGTCACCAGAACCGAATATTAACGATTTTTTTAAGGGAGCGTGTTTTACTTGAACCCTTATGTCCTTTTCCAAAGTGAGATATGCAAGAATGGAACATTTACTAGCATTGCAGTAGTGCAAGTCATGTTAGTTTGCCAAGACTGCACATGGTACTGTCGAATATAACTATTACATACCAAATTTGAGTGTCATGAGATCACTGGTTATTGTTGTGACAAATCGAACTGTCAACATGGGCGTTCCATATTGTACATCAACCACTTAACTATAATATTGTATTCATGAATAATTATTCATATTCGTTACCCAATATTCATGATACGTATCATATTCGCCACATAGTGTATTCGTTGCAGCCCTAGTACTAACATGCAATTTTGATAAATTTTAGGATTCATAGAGCTTTTGTGTCTCAAAGGACTCAAAATGTAAATTATTTGCATCCACTTTCAGTTTGCAATTTGGGGACCTGAGACTTATCTACTTTAAACTGATACTAGACACCTTTCCTTTCATCTATAGTTCTGTTTGTTTTTTGTTTAACACTGCTCTCAGCAATATTCCAGCTATATCACAGCAGTCAGTAAATAATCCAGTCTCGACCAGATAATTCGGCGACTGACAACAACAGCATCTATCCATGCAATTGAGAAACAATGACAAGCAAGTAAGTGAGCCTGACCAGCGATCCTGTTAGCCGCCTCTTAAGACAAGCATGGGTTGCTGAAGACCAATTCTAATCTGCAATCCATCAAGTAAATCATCTTGTGAACAAGGCATCTCTTGAACCCAAACCCCCACGCAGCCCCAAACCCCCAGCCCGCAGCCCCAACCCCCTCACAACCCCAACTCTCTCACAGCCCCAAACCTCCCCACACACCCCAACCCCCATCACAGCCCCAACCCCCTCACACACACCCCCATCACACCCCAACCCCCAACAGCCCCAATCCCCACACACACACAACCCTCTCACTGCCCCAACCCCTCACATCCCCAACCCCCTCACAAACCCCCAAACCCCTCCCCAAGCCCCAACCCCCTCACAGCCCCTACCCCTTGCAGCCTCACCTCTCTCCTCACGTTCTCCTTTGTACTCAGACACTCGACCTTTCCGGAATATCTTCAAGGTTGGGTATCCCGACACTCCATACTCCTTAGCCAAATCTGTACTGACTGTGGCATCCACCTTGGCCAGGGGGATTGGGGGGTCGTGCTGCTTCAGTGACTTGGCAGCCTTCTCATACTGGGGGGCTAGTTGCTTACAATGTCCACACCTGAATCATCAAAAACAACATGTGAAAAGCAGAGCCACAAAAACAATATTCAATCAATATCAAAGCTGCTAGTTGGTTGGTTGGTTGTTTAACGCCGCACTCAGCAACATTTCAGCCATATGGCGGCAGTCTGTAAATAATCGAGTGGACCAGACAATCCTGTGATCAACAGAATGAGCCTCTTACAACAAGCATGGGTTCCTGAAGACAAAGTTTTAACCCAGATCTTCACAGGTCCACTGCTGCTAGTATATAATAAAGGTAAGACAAAGACAGCATGATCTACCAATCCAGACCACACACATATAGGCCCCTGTTCCACAAAGCGACTTGAGCGCTATGGTGATGCTAAGTCTATGTTTAAGCATGGGAGTTGATGGTCACCTTAGCACGGGGCCCAGTGGGGGATTGCAAACTGATGTCTTAGAAAAGGAGGTGAGATGAAATTGGGTTTAACGTCGTGCTTGAGAATATTTCGCTCATATGACGATGTGCATGCATGTGTATGTGTATGTGCGGCTGCTTGTACTAGCCCAGATTTAAGCTGGTTTTATAGTGCTAGCCCACTGAGATACCATGCCGCAGTGAAGCATGAATACCCCACTCAGACACAGTCCTTGTTATACATTAACTCAGAGAGCCAGACAGGGACCAGTCCTTGTTGTACCCAGGTAATGCAGTGAATGGCGCATCAGACAGGGACCAACAAGTACCATATTTTAAGTACCATCTGTTTTGGTATGTTTATGTTTTACGGCGCTGGTCACATTCAACTTCCTGACTGATCTAAACTTACGCTGGTAGTAGAAATGCGTTCATTCAGATGTAATTAAAATAATTCAGAGGAGATATTTAATCCGAATGTAAACCGTCATCAAACTGTTATCATTTGTTTTTTTCTGGTAACGTTAGATGCTTAGCGGCAGACACATCAACCGCCTAGCCCTGTCGCGAGGATTCTTAATTAAGGTCACTGACACCGTCGTTTGTTTTCTGTCTTAAATTAATCGTAATTATCTTTAGAAAGTATTAAATTTGGAGAAATACAGCCCTACCACGAAACACATGTAAGCGAGTATAATAGTTCAGGGCAAAAGTGTGTTTTATTACACTATACATGGTGGTAGAAAGCTTAAACATTGCTCTGATGTGACTGTAACCACTGTCTTGATGTGATGTGATGTGATGTGATGTGATGTGATGTGGGCTCATGACACTTACCACTTAGCTAATATCTGATCATTTGATGACAAACATGGTAAAAATCAGGGCCAAACTAGGAACTGTACACAAGATTATACTTTTCAACATTTCTAATACAAGGGAAGCAACTCCGCCAAACAAAATCCAGGACCTTTTATAACTGACACCAGTGGTGAAGTCAATGTTCAGGAAATGTCATGTTTATGTTGGTAAGACATTTACTGCTTGTCATTGTAGCAGACTGTTCAACTCACCATGGGGCGTAGAACTCCACGAGGATGAGGTCCTCCCTGTTGATGACCTCGGTGAAGTTGTCACTGGTCAGTGTGATGACAGCATCTGGAGGGGGCCTCCATAGTGGATCAGCTCTCTCCTTCATGTACTGCACAATCTCTGGAAGCAGAAATCATCCTCATTGTACTCATATCTCTAACTCTGCTTCGATGTCAGAATATCACAAACTCATGTGAGTGAACACTGAATTCAATGCAGAACAAGTTTGAAGTTTAATTCATTAAAACAAGCCATGGTATCTAAAACATGCTGACCTGCGAGTAGGAGTATATTCTGCTTTTAGCAATATTCCAGTCATATCACTGCAGTTTAACACCAAATTTGAGCTTGGAAAATTTGTACCCTTTGGGTGAATCGAACCCATGTTTTGTGGGACATGATGTTTACCTTGAAGGCTAACCCACACGAGGCAAGGAAGGGAAAACTTGTCATGCCTCGTGTTATCAATACATATAACTTCAACTTTAGTTTAATTCCTCAAACTCTGAATAATCATACGCAAAAACATTCACTATTTTAAACTTTGAGAACAAAGGTTTTTTTATTGTAACCACAGTGAAAAATATGAGTGAATATGATATAATCAGTTTTTTAAGAAGATTTGATCAAGGTGTGCAAAACAAAACTTCAGTGTGGCATAGATTTAGAAGTTGTGTCCATGGGTTTTAAGTCGGTTTTGAACAGCATTTCAGTTCCAATACTTTGTGTCTTATGGGAAGAAAACCCAAACGCTGGATTCAAACACTTGCCCTCTAACATCACATTAGCTGCAGACAGAGCAGTGAGAACTTACCAAACTCTGTTCTTCCACCCTCGTAATCAAACGCCTGGCCATTCTTGAAGAACTTCAGAGTAGGATAACCAGACACTTCAAATCTGGTAAAAAAATGTGTTCATGTATGAAACCATGGTTACAATTAACTAGGACTGCAACGATTCGGTTCAATTAATCAAAAATCGAATCAGACACCTTTTCGATAATCATTATCACTATTCTGATTCAATATTTAATTTAATTTAATCCCTATTTAAATTATTTCCACACAGCCAGAACTCGAGCAGTTTCAAATGCTGTAATAAGGCGAAACGAGATTGGTTGACAGCGGGCTAATTATTAAATGAGAATTGTTGTTAGTAGACATCGTGAAGTTGACGATGGATTTCACGCTAAAATAGCCAACTCTGAGAGTTAAATGAAATGAAGTGTTTACTTGTATGAAGAATCGAAAATGACGGAATTGCTGGTCCTGTATCAAAGAAATGAATCGAATTGAAGTCTGGGTGAATTGTTGCAGCCCTAGCATTGACACACATTACCAGGACACAATTAGCCCTAACTGTTGTAAAACAGAACAACCTGACACCTGAGGACTAGTGCAAAGCCATGTAGCCCAAGGGAGATAACTGTGAAAACAATACAACTCCAGTCCATATAATGATGTCATGATAACCAACTGCACAAATAATAAATTATTTAGTTTGTTATTTTCAAACGAAATTACATGTTCCATGATGCCCAGCTAACAAGACACCATTGCTATCAACAAGATATTGCTTCTAGAGATTGCGAAAAACAAATTCATTTCATTGAAAATGAGAGTTTAGTTGTACACCCCACTCAGCAATATTTCAGCTATATGGCAGAGGTCTGTAAATAATTGAGTCTGGACCAGACAATCCAGTGATCAACTGCATGAGCATCTATCTGCGCAATGGGGAACCGATGACATGTGTCAGTCAAGTCAGCAAGCCTGACCACAGATCCTGTTAATCGCCTCTTACAACAAGCATGGGTTGCTGAAGATCAATTCAAGCCCAGATCTTCATGGGTCCATTTCATTGAAAGGATTGTTGTTCATGAAAGGATTTAGTTAGATTCACTGAATATGTGAGAGAATAGGAACAGCCCAGGATGTAACCAAAAATGGAAACCCGCATCTCAGTCACCCACCTTGTGCCCAGATCCTCATTCTCTGTGGCGTCCACCTTAGCGAGCGGGATCGGGGGATCATGTTCCTTCAGTGTCTTGGCGGCGCTGGCGTACTTCCGTGCCAGACTCTTGCAATGTCCACACCTGAAACATTTGTCAATTAACATAACATACTGGTGGGTCCCATGAAATTTATTTTACATAATTATTTCACAGATTACTGTCCTCAGTTACGTGTGTTTGGCTGCATAGGTTTTGTTTGGTTTGCTCGTTTGTTGTTAAAGGCACTATATCACACCACACTTCTCTAAAAATACATAATGCATTTGTCTCAATAATACTAACTATCAGCCCTCAGGGAAGCCACCATATAATTTATTACAAACAAAATTACGTATTTATATTACAATATTAAATTAACAAGAAGACAAAGTCCTCAATATCCCCAGCAACGGCAAAATACACTTCATGAATATGTCTACTAGTTATTATTATGTGAAATGTTTTGGTGTGTACATAGCAAAGTGGAAGGAGAGTACAGAAAGGTTTTAAAGTTCTGTTATAGAAAGGAGCACTACCACCATATTCAGTTGAAGCCAAACTTGTCGCCATGGAAACTACCAAAAGGCACCAGTAGACCACCAGATCTATCTATGTGCCAAGTTTGGTGAAGAAATATTGAACAGTTTTAAACTAAATTAAAGCTCTGCTCCGGAAAAGACTAACGTGCACGGACAGGCGGACCCTTTTTAATACCCCCGCAAAATGCATTACGGGGGATAAAAAGTCCGAATGAATTAATGCAACAGTGCATTAAATAGACACACATACCCTCTACCGACCAAACATTACTTCAAGCGAACCCCATAGAGTTATGTCCCTTGGAGAGCTCTTTACGAATATCGTACGCACAACTTGTGATCGAAACCAGTTCGGCAAACACTGACAACACCATGTAGATGTACATAGCAATTGTTTACATTGCATATATGGCAAATGTTCTCTGTTTGGAAGCTGTTCGCCTCGACGTTTCAATTAGCGATTTCAGGCAAGTAATAAGGGATATTAAGTCCTTTATTGCATCAATTGGAAGTTAGAGCGAGTGCATATGCCTCAATATATATAATATTGGTCAAAATATTGTCGAAAATGTGTGACATTGTGCCTTTAAATGCCCCACTCAGCTATATTCCGGTTATATGGTGGTGGTCTGTACAACTGCATAGGTCAGGGATCTTGCATATTTGATGCAATCTGTGTTGAAAATATTCCTGTTGATCGGAGTTGTTGCCACACCAAGTCAAAAGTGACATGAACAGAAACACACTAACAATTGGATACCGATTATATTTTAAAAGATAAAATCTTTTAAAATCAAATTTTGTCAACACATTTTCTATTATTTACATTCAGCCATCTCATCCTGCCAAGTCATTACTTTCATTATCCGTAACACTAGAATTTAGTAATGTAAATATAGACGTGATTTAATTTTCAATTTAAAGATTATTATGCAATATCATCCATGGCATGGATATGGGTTAATATTAATTGCTTCTGAATAGGGCTGTGTATCTGTAAAGACACTATTGCAAAATATTGTAATACCGGTATCTGTATTGCGATACATATCGTGATATATTGGGAGCTAAATTGTTGACAGTAGGCGACACTGATTGTCCATGCAGATCCTATATTCTACATACTAAGGCCCAAAAAATAAAACTATGTAAACTTAGTAGGGCTGCGCAATCTAACCGGTTTACCGGTATTTACATGAAAACGATACGTATTGCGATACGCTGGTCGAAAACCGGTATTTTGACTTGCATTCGGAAAACTTCGTAACACTCGGAAATCTTCAGATATTTCCTTTTTTCATTTGTGCCAAATATTATTCACATTTTTATTTTTAATCATGAATAACTGACTGACTGAGTTTGGTTTTACGCCGCTTTTAGCAATATTCCAGCAACAGCACGGCGGGAGACACCAGAAATGGGCTTCACACAGTGTGCCCATGTGGGGATTCGAACCCGGGTCTTCGGCGTGACGAGCCAACGCTTTAACCATTAGGCTACCCCACCGCCCCTAATCATGAATAAAAGTTGTTATTAAAGCTTAATGAAGCATAATGATTTTGCTGTTTATTTGCTCTATAAATCAAGCATTACCTTGATTATAAGTAGTTTATTGTTTAAAAATACTTCATGCAATATATTGCAATACATATCGCAATACATGCTTTCGCATCGCAATATATCGCAATATGAAAATTCTCTGCAATACCTACCCCTAAAACTGAGTGATTGTAAATCAATGCTCAATGTGTCACTTTAACATCATGCAATGTATCATTCCAGAATACGTTTTGTACCTTAGAAGACTTATTAAAAAAAACTTTAAAAATTCATTTTCAGATCGAAAGATTAATGTCTTCATTTGAATTGTGTCTTAACACTAAAGTGACTGAACAACTTTATTATACTTTATGAAAGGATTTTAGTCAGCCATTTCTTTTTCATGATTAATTTTCACACAAAAATGCTGATTTTAATTCACTGCTGACTGTCACCAGTGTGAACTGTTTCTCCAAGTCTTATTTGCATCCACTGTCCGAGAATTAAACCGTAGAGATAATAACTATAAATGATATATTTTTACCCAATATACCAGTACACAGAAAAATATTGAAATATGTAATGTTTGAAAAACCTATTGTGGTATACTGGTACTCCCATAATACTGTGCAGTCCTATGCTCTAACCAAAACATTCTAAATAAATACCGCTTTATTATATGGACCTTTTCAAGACAGAACGAGGAGTAAATATAACATATTTAGGAGTCTCGAGCAATCCCTCATAGTCAAACAGGCAAGTGAGATTGTACAAATATTGATAACACTGGATGAATCTCATCAATCCATGTTACCCGATTTGTAGTAACCATGGTAACCATGGTACTCAAATTGTAAAATCATCCCCACATTGTATATTGCACACACTTTTCAGAACATGTCTTGGAACGAAGACCACCTCAATCAATGATAACGCCACACTGTAAACTTCCACAATGCAAGGGTTATCTCTGATGTGTTCCATACAAAATGTTCATAATCTGCCAATTCTCTCTTGACTTCCACAAAATAAAGATGACAGCACTGAGGGTGAGGTTAGATGAACTGGGGTATAACACCACAGAATGACTGATAATCCAGTAAGTATATAAAGCAATTATCTCTGACATAGCTACTCGTTTCCTGTTGGTAATAATCACTCACTGCTTACCAAGGAGCATAAAACCGACCAAGATGATGTCTTCCGAGTCAATAACTCTATCAAAATTAGCGCTCGTTAACACCATGACATCCTCCTCCTCAACGACACCATGTTTGTTGGTTGCCGCCTCCTCCTCTGTCGATGCCGCCCCTTCATCTTCTGAAACAATGTATAACAGGATTGCATTAGATCAAAGTGTGCCAAACGTAAAAAATAAATAATGAAATTCCTCTTTAAAAATTGTAAATTTATTGTAATTTAATCTTTCAAATGAGTATGAGAATTAAAACTGCAAAATCCATGCATCTGTGACAATGATTTGTATTTCTAAAAACATCATGACGTGTACATTGTGGAATATATGAAAAACATCCACGCAAAATGCATAAATAATGCATATATGAGTAGTATCTATTTCACACTATCGACTTAATTAACTGAGTAAATAATTCAACCAATGTACTGTCTCTTACTTAGTTACTGAGTGTGAGGATGCGTGCCTCTTCCAATAAGTCTTCAATGCAAGTTAAATGATTTTAAGTTCGCTTAGGCAAGTTCTGGAGGGGGCTTTTTGTGAAGTTCGACTGTGAACATTTAGAAAACAACAGTTGCAAGCATTGTCAGTATGCATATCAGTGCACAACGTACCTGGTTCCTTAGGGGTTTCGTCTTCATCCAAGTCATCGCACTTCACAAACAGTGCAGACGTTCCCAAAAGTAACACGAACACAAGAGCCAACTTCTCCATCTTTGCCATGTTTGCAAGTTTGACATGTGTGCCGGTGGCAGTCGTCTATGACCCGGAAGCACTACTCCAAAAATAGTTCGCATGTTAAGTCACAAAAAGGGCGGGTTATTTCAACCGAAACGCATTAAAACTCCACAATTTGATAAGAAAACGTCATATCTATTTGTCAAAGTGTTAACAAATGTATGTCATATGTAATTTAACAAAAGTTCAAATTCAGCGTAGTTATATAATCTATAAATAGCATCCAATGGGATTTTGCCAGGTTCCCTAGCCTGGGAAATCCAGCTCAGTTGTTATCGCGCTGCCAAGGAACAGCTGAGGTTCGCAGGCCATGAATGATCATGAACAGTCATGAATAAAGATTAAAAGATAAAACAAAGTTCATTGTGATTGTTGTTAGTTGAGCCACCATTATTGTTATTAGAGCGTATAAGTATCAACGACTAATTTAACAACGGGGTGCCGATCACACATCTAGATGACACATGCTTAACAGCTAGGTCAATCAACATGTTATATAGTAGAGTGGGCTGGATAGCAAACCAGGGCTTATAGTTTATCAATTTTTGACCCGCAGTGGGGCCTGTGAGGTCAATATACATGTATATGAACTCGGTAGCTACAGTATGTATACTCTGATTTTTATGAGAAATAGATTGAAAAAACATGATCTTGAAATGTACAGTTTGTTTGTGGTTTAGCCTAAATATACCCAGTATAGTTCCCAATTCCCTCACACACTTATGGGGGTATGCTTCTCAAACGAAGTTGAGGATCAACATATTCTTTCACATTAATGATGTTAATAATGTCGCATTAAAACTGTTGCCTGAGTTTAGAAGGTTCACAGGTGTCAGCAAATATATATATGATACGGTCTAAAAGTGAATACTCTCGCTTCCCCACATGTGTACGAAGTGTAAAGACCATTTCTGGATTCCATCCTCCGCCATACTGAAGAAATAGTAAAGAAACGGCGTTAAAATATACTATTTAGAACATACACACAAAATAAAAACTATTTAGGCCATACATAAAAATATTCGTGTTTCTCATTACCGCCAGAACCAAAAATTCGACCCGATCCTAAGATTTTTTTTATATTTTAGAATTTTTCACACTTCTAAGTCTGGATCTTCTTTCGGACAAAGGGGTAAATTTCCACAGAAATCAGGGGTTTGGGATATAAAATAAAATAAAATGTAAAAATAAAATCCACCCGCCCGCCCCATATTTAAAAAAACACGATGAGCAACAAGAATCATTTGTAGGTGGCCTTATATCGCAAGTCCCCATGGTATTTCAGCAACATTACGGTGTTTTATTTGCTTGATTCATCAAGTTACACTCGCCAGCTTTCCAACTTTAAATGACGTCTTCATGTAGATAATCGAGTCTGGGCTTGAAAATACATGGCACGCACTCAATCAAGTAAGTCCCTGAGACTGACAACTCCAACCCATTACAACTAACAAGTCACCTTGCACGACCAGCATTTCTTGCTGGGGAGCCATTCTGATGCGGAATATCCCATGAGGTTTTCTCGAATATTTTTAGCATATCCGAACGAAATAAATATTGTAACGAGTGGAGTTTCACACAACAATGTAAAATTAGTTTTAATAATGGCAGTCTATTCATATGTACAAAAGTGAAAAACAAGTAGCATTGTATATGGTGAAAAAGTCTTACTTTGGTTATGCAATTGTTCCTGTCCCAGCTCATTCCTCCGAATAATAACACAAATATCCATCAAATGAAATCCACTCAATGCCGACATGGCTAATCCTTTGATTTCACTCCCGACCGGGGAACTGAGCACTTTGTGTTTAACATTGTTTGAAAGAAGCCAAAAGCCCAAGCTACAATTATATAACCCCCTTTGTAGATTACCCAGCTGAAGCAGACAGACAGACAGACAGATTTTTTATTTACGTCTCGCCTCTTAATATAAAATACAAACATAGAATTTACTTAAAAGTACAGCGAGCCACCCAAAGATAGGTTATGAGAGACGATGTAAAATATATATTTACATAAAATAACAATATGCTGCTTATCACAAAGTGCATTAAAAGTACATAATAAAATTACCCAAACATACATTGTAAGAGTATTTGTTAAATATGCATTGTATACATAGACGCATAGACAATGAAAAGTGGTCGGGGTGCTTCTGAGTTAGGGTGAATAGGTATTTTAGGGAATAAAATATACTTTAGAATAAATATACGTTAGAATCACTTCAGATTCATAAATATAGATAGATAGATATATAAGAGATTCTTATAACAGTAGTTTATATCTTTTCTTTTGTACAAAATATATCATCACAGATCGATGAATGTTTAAGTGTAAATATATGTAAAATATAACAAAAGTCATGATGCTGCCATTCAATCTGTGATCCGAAATCATTGTTTCTACGTATACTGGTTTGTGGTGATGTATCGTCGTGGTCATTAAGTGAAATGTTGCTGAGTGTGACGTTAACCCCCTGGATGCCACAGGGACATATATGTCCTTCCCCTTCAACCCTCAATTTCAAGTCGAATAAAAATTAAAATATCCCACGCACACAAATACACTTCACAGTTTCGAATTCTGCGGGAAATTCCCTGTTTCTTGATACCATCCACTATTATTTTAAACAAAGCTCAAGTGCTGAAAATGACCTTACAAAATAGGCTTCATCTAAAATGGCGACATTTTTTTACACAGTATGAAATCGCGATTCACAGCGTTATTTGCTGTATGTTTTGAAATGTGAAAATCGGATAATTACTGTGAGTATTGAATTTCAAAAATAACATATTTATGATCACTGATATCAGTTTTACATGAAATCGCTAATTATAATTCTGAAACGTTGCCGATGAATCTAGAATCGGTTGGGATGTTTTCGAAAATGCACTTACACGAACGCCGTAGAGCGCTTTCCGCCATATTGGATAGTGTTTACAAAATCACGTTTCGCGAAGGCCGGTATTGAGACGCCTATTACATCACGTATATTTCATATTCAGCTTCGAAAAATGCATCACTGAATTCCCCATACATTTAAGAATCAATTTGAAACTGGTCTGTGTCACCAATAATAACTGTCTAGATAAAATGAGACGAAACATATTGGGTGTGAAAACGAACGCTGTGCTTGAAAGACTGCGTTTGTGTGAAATGTAAACAAAGACAAATTCCGATTTTACACTGCGTAGCATTTTCTGAAATTTTTCAACATTCATCCGTCTATTCATTGCTTGCAATGGCTCAATACCTTTAGAATATACATGGAAAGAGTATCGTAGCAAGAAATAGGAAATTATAAATAGATACAATGCAATGATTTGATAATTCATAAGAAATTGTCAAAGTTTCCGTGCAGCGTGACGCCATGACTGACGCCAAATCACGCAGAACGACAACGGTAATTATCTGCATTTCTGTCCTTTTCTCTTACGTATAGTGAAAAAGATAAAAACATATAACAATACACAGATAGTCAGAATCATTCTGATTGCTTACATCTCATATTTATGTACAAACGATCCCTGAATCAGTGGAAGGGTCCTCGCAAAATCCTGTGTACCCTTGTCAGCAAAGCCGCCATTTTGTAAGAAATCGGTCAGCGGTAGTGATGTCATACGTCAACATTGTTGTACATATTAGGCAATTTCTTTGAGGTGAAGGTCGGTTGAACAAGAGTAAACACAATCGCCATATCCTTCCGATTACACTGTCAGTATTATGATGTATATTTTGCGCATAGTTCGGATACTTTTTTCATGAAACTGACTTCAGTATCTACATTTAGCCTTGTTCAATATCATATCATACATGCATATAGGGTTTACGGTGTTTTATTCTTTGAAAGTTTTTGATTGTTTGAATCATATTTACATAAGAAAGTGACATATTTATTGCAATACACCATATTTTAAACCTTTACACAAGTGTTAGAAGATCAAACGTAGCCATAACTGCAATTACTTTAGTTCCTATGATGTACAATATTCAATTTATTTGGACTAATATTGCAATTTCATATGAACAGGTTAATGAACGGTGATATGATTCAACCTTATACGCAAAACTGATAATATTAATGACAATTATTTATATATGGTATGAAATGTACATGCACACATATTTAAAGGAATTGTCTTGTTCATTGCATAATTTTGTGTCGTTTTATAGACAAAAGAATGATGCATATAGATCGGCAAGGTGCGCGTTTGTTGGCAACGTTTTATGATTCTCTATCATTGTTTTCGATAATATATTCAATTCATATTCGATTAAATAATATTGTGATGACAGGATATCAAACTCTAACTACTCATAGGAAAATTGTTGAAAAATATATATACCATCTCATGTGTTAATTCGGACAAATCTTATATCCATATTCTAATATATAGTTCCATATATCAAAAGCTATCTTTATGCATCTGTCATTGCATACGTATGAAGAGAAATAGCTTCATAATCATAAACAAACAAAATTCTTATCCCAAACAAAATGTTCGGGTGTTGTGAAATATTATTTTTATTTACGTTAAATTGATGCCAAACAGGTGCGCGTGTTGGTCACAATAAGATACGCTGTCAAACTGTCTAATTGTTGATATATTCAGGACACTATTTAAATGGAAAAATCAGTCATTTTATGTTTTGTCTAAAGAGTGTAAAATTCTGACATAGAAGTCTAGACCTTTTATACAATTAATGGAAATTAAGTGAGATATATACTAATCAGCATACCAATGTCGTCGTTTTCCGACGTCGCAAAATGCATAAAACAAGCGATGACGTCAAGTAAAATGTTGTATTATTTTCAGCAATTTCGTTACATTTGAAGATATGGCTAGTACTCTGGTAATAACGATGCAAAATTAGTCAAATTACATCTACACAAACAGGAGAATATGGGAATCTAAGAACTAACTTATATATCGGATAGGGCCATTCAAATCGCTATTACGTGCTTTCAAATGTAATACGTTGTCATCTTTTCTTATAAATTGTGAAACTACCAAAGCGCATCCGTTCTCATTGGGGAACTTTGAATTGGAATAGTGAGGTTCACCAGAATATAAAATAACGAAAATATAGCGTCCGTATCCACAACACATTTTCTCCAAGTGATCTGAGTTACATTGACCTAGTGTTACGCATAACGGAGTTATGCCCCCTTATCATTATACGTGTATGACCTCTCTTTCGTCGTTTGACGTCATAGCAGAAAATCCATTTTTGACATTTATTGCGAGTCATTTTTAATGTTGAGCGTATAACGCTATGCACAAGCACATTAAACCCAATTCATATACACTTATGTCGTTCAGATATCAGGCTGTATTTTCTTCGCTCACACTTTCCGTAAAGATGGCCCATTAAAAAATTCGTAGCACAGTGCTTTTATCGGTGCGCGATAAAAAGCGGAGAAATTTACTGTTTTTTAACGCATAACAAAAATTTGGACAACATTTAGCAAGGTCTATTTCTCAAACCGCCAGATAGTTGCACTTATATTTATACCAACGGATAGGAAATTTAATAGTCTACATTTCTGTGTAATTTTATAGCCTTACGTAGATCCAGGACCACGCGAGAGCAATTCTCGCACAACGTTCACTTTTCAAACTGTATGAAAATGTGCGCCTGAAAAAAAACTCGGCAGCCAGGGGGTTAATCATCTATGTCATGATTGCACAATGCCATTTAGAAAGTGGTCAAATGGAACTTATGTTATAGTTGGGATTACACTTTCTTAGTAACGTACAGATTCTAGTCTTTTTGGGTTGAGTCCCATCCGGGATTCGAACCCACACCCTCAGAGTTCGGCACCTAATCACCAGCACACAAAGTCAGCCACCTAATTCGCTCAGCCACTGCGACTTCCACAAGTGGTAGCCAGGCGATTAGGTGCCTGACTCTGAGGGTGTAGGTTCGAATCCCGGATGGGACTCAACCCAAAGAGTACTAGAATCTGTACTTTACTAAGAAAGTGTAATCCCAAATATAACATAAGTTAGATTCTATTTCAGCGTTGCTTCTCCTCACAAACGCATCATCTGTGAAATCCAGTTTTGATGATCTTTCAGATTTGAGTTCTGTGGGATCCCCAACTCGAGGCGTCGAAGTTGTGTCAATGGGGCAGTGGGGTAGCCTAGTGGTTAAAGCGTTGGCTCGTCACGCCGAAGACCCGGGTTCGAATCCCCACGTGGGTACAATGTGTGAAGCCCATTTCTGGTGTCCCCCGTCGTGATGTTGCTGGTATATTGCTAAAAGCGGCGTAAAACCAAAACTCAGTCAGTCAGTCGGTTGTGTCAATGGTAAAGAGAGGCTACGCGTTAATCCCATAATCTCCACACATGTAACGTAGGCTAATCTCTCCCCAAAGATAAAGCTGAAACGCGTAAAGACATTAATTCGTGTTGTCATTTGTTTTCATTACATGTATAAATACTAATGTACACTGCTGAACGTCACCGTCCCTCTCTTTATATATAATGGGTGGTGGGGTAGCCTAGTGGTTAAAGCGTTTGCTCGTCCCGCCGAAGACCCGGGTTCGATTCCCCACATGGGTACAATGTGTAAAGTCCATTTCTGGTGTCCCCCGCCGTGATATTGCTAAAAGCGGCGTAAAACTAAACTCACTCACTCACACCCTAGCTTTCTGTTAGACAAAATTATGGGCATAAAACAAATTTTAAGAATGTTTGCCTTTGAGTTTGAGTCGGTATATACTGTGTCTTGGTGTGGTATGCATGCTAAACTGAACACGGTACTACAATGTGATCGCTTTACAGGCCCATGTATGTGATCCCGATGTTCACCTCACACACTGTGTATGTTGAACGTGTATTTCAAGATTCGCGCGCTGTCCACTCCAACCTTGACCTTCGTATCAGCATTGTTTACTTCCGGTATAATGGCTGACACTTGCAACACATGTAGTCAACACTGCCGTGTCATTCAGAAACTGATTGTCTTGTGATGACAGTTAAGGAGTGACCTGCCAATGAAGACAATTCGTACTTGTTCAGTCGGAAACGAGTTCTATCAACATGTTAGGAAACTTATTTGAAGAAGAGAAGGGCGCTTTTGAAACACTTGAGACAGCTCTTTTCGGTTCTGTGAAAGGCGGGGCACCAAGAACACCCAGATCTCAATGTAAATTGGCCGGTATCGCCAATCAAGGAGCGACTTGTTATCTAAACTCGCTGCTGCAAACTCTACTTTTAACACCGGAATTCAGAGGTAGGTCTATATTATTTTAGGTAGCATAAAGTGTTATTGAAAATGATAATTTTTATCTGTTAACCTTTTTTATCTATTAATCTTTGAAAAGAAACTAGAAAAAATGGGTGATTGGCATCGCCATATTACCTCATCGACTTTGATGAGACTCTGGTAATTTTAATGCCACCATAAACAAAGTAGTTTGCTGCACAGAGTTACGTCCATTTGTCATGCAAGGATCAGCTAGCATTGGGTTGAAATTCTGATATTTACTAAAATCAGGATCCTTGATAAGAAGTCCACAAAACATTATTAACTTTTGAAGTTTTTTCAGTAAGTATCTTTGGGCAACATAAGTTTAGGTGCCTGACTCTGAGGGTGTGGGTTCAAATCCCGGATGGGACTCAACCCAAAAAGAGTACTAGAATCTGTACTTTACTAAGAAAGTGTAATCCCAAATATAACATATGTTACGTTACATTTGACCACTTTCTAAAAAGGCATGGTGTATTTCATAGCTTTTGGCCGTGGGAGCCGTGCCAACTAACACTTATCAGAGGGGTACACAAAGTCCGCAGTCTAGACTACCAGTTGTCCGACTTCCATTGTTGTGGAAGCGGCGGTGTATGAGCGGTCTAGGCGTCTGACTTTGTGTGCTGGCGATTAGGTGCCTGACTCTGAGGGTGTGGGTTCGAATCCCGGATGGGACTCAACCCAAACAGAGTACTAGAATCTGTACTTTACTGAGAAAGTGTAATCCCAAATATAACATATGTTACGTAAGTTTAGGTGTTTCTCACACATAAGCTTGGTGGACATGCCTTGATGTAAGTGAAATACTATTCAGGTGGTTGTTCAACCCAGTTCACTCACTTTCACATGTTACTACTGGAGCCAGATATTATGCTTGTGTCACACTGACTCACAGATGTAGACAAACCCGTCTTCAACGTATAAATGGACAGGGATAGCTTGATAGTATCTAATTTGAAATTCTGTTTCCAGAATCCTTGTTTCAACTGAGCGAGACAGATCTTGGCCGTCTGGAAGACAAGGATAAACCTGGCGCTAAGGTAACAGTGGATGAGTCGGTTGTGTTTGAATTATTTGTACCATGCCCTGGCGTCGGTCACTTTGATCTTACCCCTTGTCTATCTAATAGTTACAACACAGCTTGAAGTCACCTTTGACCGCAGCTATCTGATTGGCTCACTACAGGTTAGTAAGCCACACCTACTGTTCCCAGTACTGTACAATCGAATGTAAACCTTGGAGTAGTTATTTCATTCTAAAACGAGAGCTCGTGTCTACATCATAATTTTTAATGACCTGAGTAAAGTGTATACAGTCAAATCCTGATGAGTCGAATGCCGCATCTCGAATATTATACATAACTCGAAGTACAAGTCGGTCCCAACCATTCTCTGTTATAGTTGTCATCATTTGATTTCCGGTTACACGAATTCGTCTCATAAATACACACGATGACTCGAAAAGGACATTTGGTCCCATGAGATTCAAACAACAGCAATCTTGTATACATAAGCCGAAGTCAGTTAATGAGAAGTTAATTGGTGTAGCTAACTGATCCAATTAACAAACCAGCGCGGCTCACACCTTTCCGCTTTTGTCGGGTGAGTTCAAAAGGCAGATTAGTGATTTTACGGAAACGGAAGAATTAGTACATGACATTGAGTTAACTCAATTATAAGGAATTGTTCAATATTCGATCATCTTTTTTTTCTACCCTCATAGACATACCTATGTGTCAATTACATCGATAAGTCGAATTTATTACTTGGTCCACAGCGATTCGACTCATCGGGATTTGACTGTAGTTTAAAGTTCAGGAAACGTTGCACCTTCTTCTGTGTTCAATACTGACAACTGATTCAACCCATCTAACATGGCAGATTGAGTTTCCATAACCTCAGCAGCTTGCGAAAAAAATGTGTCTTTGATTGTATCATCCCATTCCAGTGTATTATTGTCAACTTCATCAATTATTTGTGACCATGTAAGGTCTATACCACCAGTGACTTGACATTGCGGCAGTGTGACACAGAATGATTTCAAATTCAAACATCGCACTCAGATTTTGAAAACACGCAATGTGGGCATGGTACAAAGCAGTTACGCTATCCAATCACTCGAGGTTTTTCCAGATAGACGATGGGCGAGCATGTGTTGATTGACAGCTGAATATAATGTCTCAAGCTATGCCCTCGACATGTTCAGCTGTTAATCAACACCGGCTTGCCCATCGTCTATCTGGAAAAACCTCTCGTTTTTAGATAGCGTAACTACTACTTAGGGAACATTGTGTGCTTTGGAAGCAAATAGCTGTGATGAGTTGAAACCCTTGCTGGTACTGGGTTCAAATCCATGGAGGGCCTCATTATTGACCCTTCAGCTTTGTGGTAGGCTATAATCAGTGGTTAAGGCTTCACTCACTATGTTAAAGTCTCAAGACTCAAAGCATCATTCACTGAGCAGGGCCCAATTTAAGAGATAATAACCCATTTGCACCAGGTGCAACCTAAGATATAAACCTAGTTGCACCAGTCAAATTCAAGTTACACTGTTTTTATTGCAATATGTAATATCAGAAATATGCTATTGAATTATTTAGATGTTTTATTCAGAAGTTTACCCACTCAAAAATTGACTTGCACCTGAGTTAGACTAAAAACTAGGTAGCACTTTATAATATTGGGTTGCACCAGTTCAAGTAACAAAGCACTAAATCGGGCCCTGCTGAGTTATTCCAAAAGGGACTCAAGAACACTGAAGGATTTAAGCTAGAGGTGCTAAGTGTTCAAAGACTCCTACTTTACGAAGTGGCTGTTACAGTTGTGTTTCTTACCTTCAGGTGCGAGTGATCCCACTGCAGCTGCAACGCCTGTTTGCCCGTCTGCTCCTTCTTGACCAGCAGAGTGTGTCCACAGCTGACCTCACAGAGTCTTTTGGCTGGACTAACAACGAGGTAGGTTGGTCCAAGTACATGTTGATGAGATGAGTATGTTTACAGTCCTAGAACCCAAGTGGGGAGACAGCCTTGTTGTTCTAGTGGAGAGAGTGTCTGTCCCTGAGTGCAGCAGGTTTGGTTCCCTGGCCACATCATAACAAATGACTGTAGAAGATTGTAAGTTTTGTTCCACTGGCTGGCACTCAGAATTATAGGGATAAAACAAGGACAACTCAATACAGTATGGTGTGAATATTTAAGCATTTTATCTCAGAAAGCTATCACTATGAAAGTTCATATTCTGGTGCCCCCTAAGGATTAGCTGGCATGAAAAGCTTGCTCTCTCTCTGTCTCTCTCTGTATCTCTCTGTCTGTCTCTCTGTCTGTCTCTCTCTCTCTCTCTCTCTCTCTCACTCACTCACTCACTCACTCACTCACTCACTCACTCACTCACTCACTCACTCACTCACTCACTCACTCACTCACTCACTCACTCACTCCTCACTCACTCACTCACTCACTCACTCACTCACTCACTCACTCACTCACTCACTCACTCACTCACTCACTCACTCACTCACTCACTCACTCACTCACTCACCTTCGTGGTGTAGTGTTTAAAGTGTCTGCCCGGAAAGCGGAAGGTCGCGGGTTCGATCCCCCGCTGTGTCATACCAAAAGACATTAAAATATGGTTCTTGTTGGTCTCTGCCTGGTGCTCAGCATTAATGGGTACATCAAGGACTGGTCGGCTCGGAGTCAGTATAATGTTTCTGAGAGGGATATTCATGCTTATCTGCGGCATGGTATCTCAGTGGGCTAGCACTATTAAACCTGCTTAAGTCTGGGCTAGTACAAGCAGCCACACATACACATGCATGCACATTGTCATATGAGAGAAATATTCTTAAGTACGATGTTACCCCTCACCTCACCTCACCTCACCTCACCTCACCTCACCTCCACTCACTCACTCACCTCCACTCAGCCACCACTCCACTCACTCACTCACTCACTCTGCCTGCGGAAGGTCAGCGGGTTCACATCCCCGCCGCCATTAAAATATGGTTCTTGTTGGTCCCTGCCCTGGCTCTGCATTAATGGGTACAACAAGGACTGGTCGGCATTCGAGTCAGTATAATGTTTCTGAGAGGGGTATTCATCAGCTCGCGGCATGTTCTCTCAGTGGGCTAGCACTTAAGTCTGGGCCAGTACAAGCAGCCACAATACACACACATGCATGCACATCATCATCATCATATCGAAATATTCTCAAACACGGCGTTAAACCCAATTTCACCTCACCTCACCTCAACTCAACTCAACTCAACTCAACTCACTTGCAGCAATTCCAGCAGCATGATGTGCAGGAACTCAACAGGATCCTGTTCTGTGCTATTGAAGATTCACTGGTGGGGACATCTGGGCAAAGTCTGATACAGAGGCTCTACCATGGAAATATCGTCAATCAGGTACATTGTAAAACATTAAACAGGTACATGTGGTCTCAGGAATATAGTAAATCGGGTACATGTTGTCATTCAAACATTGTCAGTCAGATACATATAGCTATGACAACGACTTCAAGTTCATATTGTTATGTAAACATCAACCATCAGATATATGTTGTCATAGTAACATCAACAAATTGGTACATGTTGTCATGGAAACATTTTCAGTCAGATACATGTAGCTATGGAAATATGATCAATCAAGTTTTTATTGTCATGGAAATATCAACAATCTGGTACATGTTGTTCTGGAAACATTGTTAATCAGATACATGTGTCATGGTTATCATAACATTCATGTACATGTTGTCATGGTAACACCATTCAGATACATGTTGGCATGGTAACATTGTTAATCAGATACATGTGTTGTCATGGTATCATAACATTCATGTACATGTTGTCATGGTAACACCATTCAGATACATGTTGGCATGGTAACATCATGATGTAAATGATTCCATACTGATATCACCAATCAAGTCATCTTGCCACAAATGTGACTGTTAGGTAAAAGAAAACGATAAAGTTATTGAGATGGTTTTTGGTGTTTGACATCTTTCCTTCGTAAATATGTATTTTGTACACAGATCATCTGCAAGGAATGTGGGAAGATCAGCGAGAGAAGGGTGAGTATTCTCCAAGACATTTAGAAGAATTAGAGCAGTATCAAATTTGTTCCTACTTTGCTGACCGATCTTCAGTAACCCATGCTATCAGTAACCCATGCTTGTCGTAAGAGGCGACTAACCAGATCGGGTGGTCAGGCTCGCTGACTTGGTTGACACAGGTCATTGTATCCCAATTTGCATAGATCGATGCTCATGCTGTTGATCACTGGATTGCCTGGTCCAGACTCGATTATTTACAGACTGCCCCCATATGGTTCGAATATTGTTGATTGCGGCGTAAAACTAAACTCACATTACAAATAAGTCAAAACTTAACAAATATGATACCTGTCTCAACAGTACCTTCACAGTATCATATGTGGAAACTTGTATAAAAAATGGTTCCTGGAATAGCTTGCCACAAATGCCTTGTAAACTGTCATCTAGCAAGCCTGCATGGCAAGTGCTGTATATTAATTCTCACACAGGTCATGATGTTATTAGAATATTCTCTCACAGTCATGTCCTTTTGTGGCATAAGGGACCGTTCATAATTTATGGCTAGGGGGGATGATGATTATTTTTATGGAGAAGCATGTACAATGTGACTGCACACCCCCCACCCACCCCATGTGTCCCTCGAGACCAGTGAACAATTTATAATGTACTACCCGAGATACAAGATATATACCACTGTTTGGGGTGTTGCTCATGATATCGATCACTAGTATGTCTGTTCCTAACTACATAGGCGGGTGGGGTAGCCTAATGGTCAAAGCGTTTGCTCTTCACACTGATGACCCAGGTTTGATCCCCAATATTGGTCCAATGTGTGAAACCCATTTCTGGTGTTCCCTGGAGTGGTATTTTTGGAATATTGAAAAAAGTGGCGTAAAACCATGCTCAGTCAGTCTGAACTAAAACAAATTGTGCCCCATTATTTAACTGGAATATTTTGTGAGCATTGTTAAGCCAAAATAAACAAGTGCCTTGGAAAAAATCATAGCAAATGGTTTTTGATGTTCCAGGAGGACTTCCTTGACCTGACGCTGTCTGTCAGCGGCATGGACAGCCTGGAGACAGCACTCAACAGCTTCTACTGCACCATGGAGATGATGGACGGCAAGAACCAGTACCGCTGTGAGCAGTGCCAGAAACTTGTGGATGCTGAGAAGGTATGACACACCCTGTAGAGGTAAATTTGTAAGTGGAAAGGCCCTCCTTGGTCTAAAGGATCGAGTGTCTACCAAGAGATCAGAAGGGGGTGGTTTGATCCTCACCTGTGTCAGACCAAAGATGTTAAAATGTTGTACTTGTTGTTTCCCTGCCTGGTCCTTGTCAGGTAGGGGATATCACAAAGGCTGGACTCAATAAACAGTGTCTTGGTGTCTGCCTTTTCTCATTCATGGAGCTAAAGTTTGTGTATTGACACAGATGCCAACCCTAACCAAATTCATCGGAATCAATCTGAAAAATTCCGCCATTCCAACAAAGCCAAATTCATTCAGATTATTTTCAAAATATAACACAGATATACATAGTCTTACTTACTGGAGGGCTAGGATGATCTTTGACTATAAATAATGATAATTAAATAAATACAGTGGAAACCTGCTAAGTAAAATTCCAAGGGACTCGCCAAAATTGTTTACTTATCAGGTATTTTACTTATCCAAACCTATAAAAATCTGCAAATGACAACCATATGCATGTATATATATGCATATGTAACAATGAACCACTTATCAGGGCTGGCCTCCAGTTGTCAGTGTATTGTCAACTGCATGACGCCAGCGAACTGTAAGTAGGATGTTTGTTTAACTGGAGACTGACACTTGCCCCTCATGTCGGATTACGTGGTGATCGCTAATTTAGTTATCCAGTCTCTTTTGTTAAGTAATTTACTTCCAGGGACTGTGAGAAGACGTTTAGTTAAGCGGTATTGTTTACTTATCCAAGTTTAGTTAACAGGACTCTAATAGTGATAATTAATGAAGAAATTTGCCGGGACCAAGGAAAAGTGTTTACTTATCAGGTCTGTTTAGTTAAGCGGTCTTTACTTAGGCGGTTTCCACTGTATAACACTTTATTTACAGAAGTTCTCAAATTGTTTACACAATAAGGTAATCGGGAAGTTGAGTAGGCTACCTGATTAATTCCACGCACTGTTTATTGTGTTCACTTAACATTCACAAACATTCGAAAACCGGTTTCATTTGTATAAGGATCGCTATGTGTATTGGCATTGAAAACTTTCGTTCCTTATGTGCAACAATTTATAGGGATCCCTAATTTGTTGGGGAAATTCCTATTTTTTGTCTATCTTAGGGAACTCATTGCACCAATTTGGGGTTGGCATCTCTGTATGGATGTCTGTGTATTTGACTATTCCAGGGCGCCAAGATTCGCAACCTTCCTCAGATACTGACCATCTCCCTCCTGAGGTTCAGTTATGACTTTCAGAAGATGCAGAGATACAAGGTGAGAGTTATTCTTACATTCCCCTTCATTGTGCGTGTAACAATCATTGCAGATGCATATGTCAGCTGCCTAATATACATGTAAAGAGATTAGTCCAGGCAATAAGTCTCAATTTTATTGCCGTTGGCTCGTAACGCCGAAGACCCGGGTTCGAATTCCCACATGGGTACAACGTGTAAAGCCCATTTCTGGTGTCCCCCGCCGTGATGTTGCTGGAATATTGCTAATAGCAGCGTAAAGCCAAACTCAGTCAGTCAATCTTATTGCATACCCCGCATTTTGTACTTACATGCCTGTATTTTCGTGGATATGTTTTCATTTCCTGATGGCGGACAGACATATGACATAAATCAATTACACACAAACAGTTTCTGATGTTCTGATTGTTGTGACTGAGATATGTATCACTGATTTCCCTTCACACTTGGGCAGCATACAAACAAATGCAAATTAGAGGTCATTTGAAACATTTATGAGGAAAATTAAAGAAAGTGACAAGTCAATGATGTAAAAACATTTATTATACAGGATGAAATGTACTGAACATGTTGAATGTAAATACACAATGTCAATCATTTAGAGGCTATCTTGAACACCACTCGTACCTGTGATGATCCGGGGCAATAAGGAGCAGTGGGGTAGTCTAGCGGTTAAAGCGTTGGCTCGTCACGCCGAAGACCCGGGTTCGAATCCCCACATGGGTACAATGAGTGAAGCCCATTTCTGGTTCTCCGCCGTGATATTGCTGGAATATTGCTAAAATCGGCGTAAAACCAAACTCAATCAGTCAGTCAGTCCGGGGCAATAACCCATGCTTGTCGTAGGAGGCGACTAACGGGATCGGATGGTCGGGTTTGCTGACTTGGTTGACAAATGTCATTGTGTCCCAATTGCATAGATTGATGCTCATGCTGTTGATCACTTGATTGTCTGGTCCAGACTCTATTATTTACAGATATAGCTGGAATATTGCTTCTATATTGCTGGAATATTGCTGACAATCTTTAATCTGGTCTAATTATATTTTTAATGCTACTTGATGTCTCATGGACTGTTGTCTGATGTTGTCTTGTTTCATGTTTCAGGAAACAGGGAAGTTTACGTTCCCCATGGAGCTGGACATGAAACCCTACGTGGAGAAGGTACGTTGTCATGGTTACTGTCAACCTGTGGTGTTCCAGGTAGTAGGTTCCCAGTACTGTTCTGTGAATAGTTTAGTATAATTGTATTATGGCAACGTTGAACATTGCTGGAAATATCAAGGATTGCTTGTCCAGACTTGATTGTTTCTGCTGGAGTGAGTGAGTGAGTTTGGTTTTACACCGCTTTTAGCAATATTCCAGCAATATCAGCGGGGGACACCAAAATTGTGTTATTTCTGCTGGAATGGTTGTTGATGTACTTATGTATCAGTACATAATTCACAATGCGATACTAACTTACTGTTTGGAATCTGGGCCTAGATTTTCGAAGCTCTCTTAGAGCTATGATAGTCGTAAATTAATGTTAATGTATGGCACTTACTACTATCTTAGCGCTAAGAGAGCTTCGAAAATCTGGGCCCTGGTCTGGAATCGCTCTTGAGCTATAAGTAAGAGTCAATGTAATGGATGGTAATTGTGATGATGGCATGTAATCGTACCAAGATTATTTTCAGGCTCATAATATCACCCACTGGTTTGGTCATAATTGTTTACAGGCCTGAGTCACAGCTGAAACATTGCGTAATATCACTGTATACAAGAAGCGAAAAAAGAAATGAAAAGTAGTCAAGGTTCAAATGTTAAGTAGTAGTCGTAGTAGTAGTGAAACCAAAATGCTGTTCATTTATGATTCCCATTCTATGTCCAGACATCAGAATCTGATGACGATCTTCAGTATGAGTTGTTTTCGGTGGTGATACATCGTGGCGGAGCGTACGGGGGCCACTACCACGCCTACATCAGAGACATCGACAACCTTGGACACTGGGTTCATCCTGTAAGTACTGCAGTGAATGTCATGTTTAACATTGGTGAAGTGATCCAAGCATAGCATCAAGTGAACAAACTTCACGTAGTGTGCAGTTTGTTTTTAGTCGATACCAAAGACAGTTGAATGCTATGATTACTGTTGTCCAAGCACAGCTTATCAGGATTTGGACACTGCTTCTCAACTCATTTGGCTCAACGAGAGATAAGGAAAACTGACAGTGATTGCAATGTGAATAATATATATGTTCAGTATGTTTTAGGGTGTCATGTTAATATAGAGCCTGGTACTATAATGAAACATTGTTTGACAATAACTGATCACATGGTTTGACAATAACTGAAAAGTGAAACATTTCTTTAACTGAAGCATTGTTTGACTAATAATTGTTATAACTTATCACATTGTTCGACAAGAACTGATCGTATTGTTTGACAATAACTGATCACGTTCTAAAATAACTGATCACATTGTTTGACAATAACTGATCACATTGTTTAATAATAACTGATCACATTGTTTGACAATAACTGAAACGTTTGACTGTTCCAGGGTAAGGTTGATGTGGAGATTGTGGGGAAGCGCCAGACAGGAGCTGTGGAGCTGATCAAAACCAACTCTCCTGCTGAGCTCATTGAGATCATCCTGCTGAAGAATCCTAACCAGGCCATGCCAGTGGATCAACTGGGATCTGTGAGTATTATCTGTTGCCATAGTGACCAGAGTTAGTGAGTGAAGGCAGTGGCAGCAGCAGCACTGTAGTGATGCAGGGAGACATACTGGGTTTCTTGCGATGGGTAACAACAAGAAGCCTTGAGACATATTTACCATTTCACTGGTATTGTTCATTACAATAAGGGGCTCTGGGGTAGCCTAGTGGTTAAAGCATTGGCTCGACACGCAGAAGACCCGGGTTTGATTCCCCACATGGGCACAATGTGTGAAGCCCATTTCTGGTGTCCCCCGCCGTGATATTGCTGGAATATTGCTAAAAGCGGCATAAAACCATACTCACTCACTCACTCACTCATTACAATAACCATGGACAGAGTTATCACTTAAAGCCCATGTGTTATCAAGCAAAGTAGGAGGGAGGGAGTCAGTTTAGTTTTACGCCACTCAGCAATATTCCAGCTATGTGGCGGCAGTCTGTACATAATCGGGTCTGGACCAGACAATCCAGTGATCAACAGCATGAGCATCGATCTGTGCAATTGGGAACTGATGACATATGTCAACCAAGCCAGCAAGCCTGACCACCCGATCCCGTTAGTCGCTTCTTACGACAAGCATGGGTTACTGAAGGCTCATTCTAACCCGGACTTTCACGGGTAAGCAAAGTAGGAACAAATTTGATACTGCTCTAATTTTGCTAAACGACAGGCATTATAGATCACAATGCTAAAGGACAGCTAAATTAAACAGTACCTCATAATATATTCAAGTATGACACTGCTTTAAACATGTCAATGTGAAATTATGTTTTCAACCCTTGAAGATCGGGGTTAGAATTGGTCTTCAGTATCCCATGCATCTCGTAAGAGGTGACTAATTTAATCAGGTGGTCAGGCTCGCTGACTTGGTTGACACGTATCATCGTATCCCATTTGCATAGGTCGATGCTCATGCTGTTGATCACTGGATTGCCTGGCATTGCTGAATATTGCTGAGTGCGGTGTTAAAGAACAGACAAACAAAATTATTTTCACATTAATTATTTTCACATTAAGCGATGTGTATTCCTGGTCTGTGGGCATTCGTCTTGTGTATACTCTCTGATTGAAGTTGTGTTTGTTTATTTCAGGAAATCAGCAAGCAGACTGGTGTCACATGGAACAAGCGCTACAAGAAGAACCACGGGACTCTCTCCAAGGTACAGACGACATTATGGTCGGGAAATTGTCAACAACAGTTGACTGGTGTTTAACTCAACTGGATGTATCCCTCAGCAGGGATCTTTGTGTTAGCTGGACAAGTCAGTTAGTGTATAAACTACAAGATTAATTTCTCAAGAGATGAGACTTTATATTATTTGATTGTAAAAATAATGATTCTAGTTGGTGCTGAATTGTACCTGTTACAATCAGGGGAGGTAACTCTACCACCACTTCTGACATTGAATAGCAGTTTAATTCTCTTTGGAAAAAGTTGACATAGCTGAAATTAATGAATGTCTTTTGCGTTCTTTTGAAATTACCAGTATTGAAATTATTTCAGTACCTGAGCAAGCAGAGGGGCCAGATCCGGTACAACCCCGACACAAGATGGGTGATGCTGGCTAGTAGTGAGCCTCAATCGACAGACAGTACGACTACAGGGACAGACTCAAGTAGTGTGTCGTTATTCCCAGACACTGGTAGTGGTTCTTCAGTCACAGAGGAGGGAGTGGTCACTGATCCTGCTGTGGCAGACGTGAGCGGGGCATGACACCACCAGCGCTCAGTCCCAGGAGCACAGGAAGCCTTACAAGTATGTGCAACGTTCTAATTTTGCTCTTTGTACTTCTACTGTAGTCTAAACTCACATTCCCTTTTGGCGTTTACTTTTCAGGCCAGACCAATTTTATTTCTTGTTTTACGGATATTTATCCTCAGAAAACCTAAAGGCAGGAGGGAAAAAAATAAAAATCTCCAGTCAAAGTAATATTCCTTTTAAATACTAAAAGTATTTACTTTTGGTAATTTATGAAGTGTTTATAGGGCAAAAAAAATCTAAAAACATTTTCTTGCACTTTTACATTTTTGGCCAATCAAAATATTAAAATTTTATTTTTTGAGTGGGGAAATTTTTTTTTTTTTAAATAACGACCGGCAGATCCGTAAAACAAGAAATAAAATTGGTCTGGCCTAAATAACAGGGACACACACAGACACATGTCAGTTAGACAGGTTAGACATGACGAACACAGATAAGATGCATCTCTATAGGTTAAATGGACATTGGAGACATGTTGTCTTGTAAGGTTGACAAATAGACCTTATCTTACCTTGCACATAAATGTCGCTTTCTGATTGGCTGAGTGCTCTTCTATTATTTTCAATGTACCCTGCTTACAAGCAGAGACCATATAATATATCTATTATATGGTCTCTGTTACAAGTGAGTAACATTTCAATGTACCCTGCTGTCAATGGCAACTCATTTGGTACTTCGTGGTAGCAGTTGTTTATCTCGAATTACATTGAATCACGTAACATGTACAGAATTTACCGATGTTTTGCGAATGCAAATCGATGGAAGGGAGATAACTCTAAATCTGTTTTTTTTTGTCGGCAAAATCTAGCGATGGCTACAAAAAGATTTGTACCCGTGTTTCAAACAATTCAAAATTAACATTGAGGTGTTCGGTAAGATAAATGCGGTGTTCACTGGTCCCTCGGGGCCCATGGGTTGATGTACCCTCGATGTTTGTTTAGGGAACATAAACAACTTATATTTTATTCCTGTTTTAAATCAACTGACTGAAAAACCCAGTGAAGATATGGGTTAGAATTGATCATCAGTAACCAGTGCTTGTTGTATGAAGCGACTAACAGGATCGTGTGGTCAGGCTCACTGACTTACATGTCATCGTATCCCAATTGCGTAGACTGATGCTCATGCTGTAATTATTTACCAACCACCGCCATATCGCTGGAATATTGCTGAGTCTGGCATAAAACTAAACTCACTCTCTCACTCACTCACTCTGACTGAAAATCAAGTGAGCTAATATTTTAATGAATTGTCTATTTTCAGGTTCTCTGTCATTAACTTACACATTCTAGACATACAGTTAAATCCCGATGAGTCGAATCGCTGGGGACCAAGTAATAAATTCGACTTATCGATGTATTCGAGACATAGGTATGTCTATGAGGGTAGAAAAAAAGATGATCCAATCCTAATTCCTCTGCCTAAGCATTTGTTTATCTAATGATTTCCATATTACTAATAGGGGCACCTTATCAGTTCCAGTCTGATTAGCACAGACAGTGATTTCCGTAAAATCACTAATCTGCCTTTAGAAGTCACCCGTCAATGGCGGAAAGGTGTGAGTTGCGCTGGTTTGTTAATTGGATCAGTTTGCTATACCAATCAACTCCTCATTGACTGACTTCGGCTTACGTATACAAGATTGCTGTTGTTTGAATCTCATGGGACCAAAGTTCCTTCTCGAGTCATCGTGTGTATTTATGAGATGAATTCGTGTAACCGGAAATCAAATGATGACAACTATAACAGGGAATGGTCGGGACCGACAGGTACTTCGAGTTATGCATAATATTCAAGACACCGGCATTCGACTCATCGGGATTTGACTGTATATTAAACTGCATGATCGTTAAAGATGAAACTTTGAATGAATGACCCCAGCCTTGGTGATTCTAAAAGATGCTCTCAGAATTCTGATCTAATTTTAATCTTTACAGCTATTATGTTTTATACTGAAGGTGAGCTTCAAGGCCTTATGGCTATGTGTTTTATTGTGTTATTTGGTATTGTGTTATTGTGTGCAGGCCTCCAAGTGATGTCCCTCCTGTCGGATATCAGTGGTTCAACTTTGACGATTCCCGAGTATCACCCATCACTGTGACGGAGATAGAGCGCCACTTCTCGGGGAGGGAAAGTGCATACATGTTGTTCTATCGAAGAAAACAGAAGTCGAGAACACCGGAGGGTAGGTCCACATGGCTCCACACTGACGTGACACTTGTATTTTAAATCAAAATTAAACCAATTCATATTAGAGGGGAATCAAATGCACATCCCCTCCCTGTAAGGCATCCTAAAAAATATCCAGAGAGGTGTTGGATCCTCCACTTGAGATCTGATTGTTTGTCGTAGCGGCCTCTGTTCACCCTCGCTGTAAGGCATTCCAAAAAGGGTCATGAGTTTTTTTCTCCTCAACTTGAGATTGGTTCCTGGTTTGTCTGATCTGCATCTGTACGCCGGCATAGCAATCCCTGCGCCACTTGTGTCATTACAGGAAGGCTGCATGGGAAAATAATTGTACATGTTTCATTGCCAGCTTATTGAAGGTAATTTGAAGCTGTTGAACAAGGGGGATTGGTGGGCCCAGTTGTCTTCAGATGATGCAGTTTGATGTAGATGTGTCCCTCTAGCATGCAACTATGTGTTGACCTTGGGAATGAATCCCACATTCAACTCAGTTATGACCCATCACTTCCTGCACCCTTCCATCAAACCAACCCCCTGTGACAGCCCTGAAATACGGTTAAAAGCAACTCACTCACTCTCACTCTCTCACTCTCTCACTCACTCACTCACTCACTCATTCACTCACAAAATCACTCACTCACTCACTCACTCACTCACAAAATCACTCACAAAATCACTCACTCACTCACTCACTCACTCACTCACTCACTCACTCACCTAAAACAAGGCTTTGTGTAACGTGCTGCGTAAAATTCATTGTTAATCAATTCTTTTTGTTTTTATGTTAAATTCTTCTAATCAACAAGAGGGGGGCGGTGGGGTAGCCTAATGGTTAAAGCGTTGGCTCGTCACGCCGAAGACCTGGGTTCGAATCCCCACATGGACATAATGTGTGAAGCCCATTTCTGGTGTCCCCGCCGTGCTGTTGCTGGAATATTGCTAAAAGTGGCGTAAAACCAAACTCAGTCAGTCAGTCAGTCTAATCAACAAGAAAACGGCCGGTATAGTGGAAAAATTATCAGGGCAAGTGATTTTACATGTGCCACTGTTCCGGAGTACACTAGCAATTTTAAAGTTATTTCCACCCCTGCTATTGAGTAGTTACGTGGTTAAATGGTTCATCCATACTGGCTATGATGCTGGGATTTTGCAAATCTGATTCAACTCTGCATGACACTCTCTCCACTGTCTTCATTGTTTACTTTAGCTGATGGGAATCCAGGGTACCAGATTCCAGACAACATCCTGGCAGACATTCTCCTGGAGAATGACAACCTGGCCAAAGAGAGGTGAGTGGGGAAATGTGGTTTGTCTTCACCAGCTGCGTATACGTGACATTTAAAATTTTGTTCGAAGATGTTATGGCCATGTTCTTTAATAGGTGTAATGTTTGTTTCATATCATACTGTAAAGTACTTAGTGTGGGAATGTTCATTACACTAAAACACAACTAGGGAGTTGGAGACAACCTTCATGTTTAATGCAAGATGGCTAACTCGTACAAAAATCATGTCGTCATCCTCGTGCAGATGACGTAATCAGGAATGGGGTGATCCCCCGATATGATGAACATAGGGTTGGTGTTACAACTTCTTACACTACACGTACACTAACCCCAGGATCCAAACCAGGTGTTATTGCAGTCTCAAATTAGCTGCCTTTGAATTCTGTTTGACAATTTGATTGGTTTTGCTATTGAGTTTAATGTACCAATCAAAATGTGAGTTTCAACCCAACCTCACATTTAGTTTGGCAGTATCAGCATGGTGGCCAGTTACATTGACTGGGATCAAGTTTGTAAGAAATAAAAATTGAAAAGATGACTAACATGCAAACTGAAGCCCTAAAAACCTTTATGAAGGAAAACATGTCTTCCTGTCTATAAAAAACTGGCAGTAGCTTTGGTTTCTGTGATATGAGTTACCTCCCTTTCCCTGTTCCTTATACCTACTTTCGATTGGTCAGTAAAGTGTTATTGTAAATCAAGAAATGGTATTCAGCTATCGCAAGATCTACAGGAATGGATCCTGGGAGGGTATAGGTTGACCAAACTGCGAACCCTGGAGATATATAGAGAACACAAACAAACCCATATTTTTTCTTATCCTGACTCATGATCTTTTGTTTATCTCCCTTTTCTTTTCGAATGGTAGTAGAACACTTGAATCCCTTGAAGTTCCCGAAGTTGACTTAAACATACACTCACCCACGAGTGACCTCCTTTTTGCCCTTACCAGCGCAAACAGTCATGTGACCAGCCTTACTTGTCACTCTCTCCCTTTTCGCCCAAGTGGATGGTTGGGTGAGCACTGGAGTCCCATATACGGCATTATATCCTTTTTATTTAGGTCCTATTCTTCAAAATTACGCTGTATATGGATTTAAAAGATAACGCTACCCTGTTTTCAATTTTGCGGGCCTTTACCGCTAAATGTAATTGTAAAACCGAACGCGTTAGCTGGAGATGAAAGCCGTGATCAATGCCTTACAACTATGGTCGAGCTCGCTGAACAACAAAATGCTGATGGTCCACAAGGAACACTCTACAGTGGCATTCTCCATAAATCGGCAAGGATCCACAAGGTCTCCAAGCCTGCTACAGCTCACATTCCAGTTGTTCCACATCACGGAGGAAGTAAACATCTGGATAAAGGCGTGTCACATACACGGAGCCAAGAAAGTACTTGCAGACGCTCTCTCCCGACCACTGCACCCTTCACCTACGGAATGGATGTTCCATCCAGAAGCGTTCCGGCTCATCATAAGGGAAATAGGATCCCCTTGCATAGACCTGTTTGCCACGAGGTTCAACAAACAACTACAGACGTTTGTCTCAACAGTTCCAGATCCTCAAGCCTGGGCAACAGATGCACTGAGCATATCTTGGGAAGGACTAAACGCTTACGCGTTTCCACCCCCGATATTACTACCGAAGATCAAACAGACACAGGGGCTACAACTGACTTTGGTCGCGCCAAACTGGCCAGCAAGAGTATGGTTCCTAGACCTAATCGAAGATCTCAGAAGTCCAACAATCAAGTTACCAGATTGGCCGAACCTACTCATGCATCCGCATACCAAGCAAGTCCACGGGAACCCAACAGCGTTCCAGCTACACGTGTGGACCATATGAAAACATGTTTGAAGAAAAGAGGATACTCCGCCAGGGCAGCCAAGGCAGTAACGCTAGCGTTACGCAGATCTACTCGTAACCTGTATGATGACAAGTGGCTGAAGTTTGAGATTTATGCAAGGTGGAAAGGCTTCATTGCGATGAAAGCTACTCATCCTCAAGTGGAAGAATACCTGTGTCATCTTAGACAGACTAGACATCTGAAAGGTTCGACATTATCTACATACCTCGCCGCCATCAGTACAGTGATTACCATGAAAACAGGCATCAAGTTGACGAAAGTACCAGAATTACTTGCTCTGCTGAGATCTTTTATACTGGAGGACCAGCAAAAGAAGTTCGGATACAGTGTTTGCCAACCACTACCTCCGAGACATAGCCACTGAAGACGTCTCAGGCATTCACCAATTTGGGCCTCTCGTTGTAGCACAGCAACTAACGGTTCCTCAAAGGCGCTGAGTTGGAAAATCTCACCCTTTATCACGTTGACTTGTTGATAACTTTTACTAAGGAAAAGTATTAGTTTGAAAGTCCATGCGCACAGTCTAGGACAGGCTAGCATGAGTGATCCTGTACGGGTAAAGGTCTTACCTGTACGTGAAGGGGTCGCAACTCATTTATGATAAAGATCTTATCATAATCTATGGGTTGTTATAAGATATCTAGTAATAAGAAGATAAATGTTTATCTGTAGCCACATGAATCAACATGATTCAACTTGTCTGAGACTGAAGTAAGACAAGAAAGTGGTCCCCCCGAGTTATAACGGAAGTTGGAAGAATAGGATCGGAAATGCTGTTTCGCAGTTCCCATGGGGGGATACAGGACGTATCTAAGGACAGCTGATGAATCCACGAAGTGGCTTGACCCACCACCAATCCGTCGGATTCTATAAGCAAAAGATCATGAGTCAGGATAAGAAAAAATATGTAATTTTTCAAGTAAAATTGATATTTTTATACTTATCCTGGCTCATAACGAGAAGCCCTCCCAACCTCCCCGCTGGAAACACTCCGGATTTCACAGCAAATCCAAGTAGATGGGCAGAAAATCAGGAGAGAGTGACAAGTAAGGCTGGTCACATGACTGTTTGCGCGGGAAAGGGCAAAAGGGAGGTCACTCGTTGGTGAGTGTATTTTTACGTCCGCTTCAGGAACTTCAAGTGATTCAAGTGTTCCTCTACCATTCGAAAAGAAAAGGGAGATAAGCAAAAGATCATGAGTCAGGATAAGTATAAAAATATCAATTTTACTTGAAAAATTACATTTTTAAAACACTTGTATCAGAGAGTGATGTTAACAATAGATGGTAACATAACCTTGACAGTTGACTCTTTAACCTTGTTTGGTTAAGCTGTTGATTTAATTGGAAAAACACTGGTTTGAAATAAAGCTTGGAATTTTATGGCTGCTATCACGTAAGTTGTGACTCTGTAGTCAACCTCCTGACTTTGTGGACATTAAGTAAATGTTGTTATTTTGTTTGCAGGCAAGAGTATGATGCGAAGGTCAACACAATCAACGTCCAGCTCCACTTCGAGCCTCACTATCACTACAAGGAAGGAGCTCTCAAGATGTGTCACCCCAGTGGAAAGTTTTCAGAGCTCACCATTGACAGAAGGAAATCTGTGGCAGACTTGTTGGTGTCTGTTAGAGAGGTAAGACATATTACTAGTTATAGTATTATTATCAGATGCTCTCTAAACTTGGATAATTTTGAGAAATATTAATTGGGGGGAAAAGTCTGATCTTTCAACTTTCAAGTGAAAGTCTAACTGCGAGCAAATATTTCATCTAAGTTGACATAACATCAAAAGTTTTGCACTGCCTTTCTCTACACTTGCTAAACAAATCAGCTTCAGATTTGCTGAAGTTTACATTCTAGAACAGCTACATCATAAATTAAAATAAAAACAAGTAGATTTAGAATTGGCTGTTTTAAAACATGTATTTCCTTTCATTTACAAATGGCACCCATGAAGGTCTGGGTTTGAATGAACCTTCAGTAACCCATGCTCGTCGCAAGAGGCGACTAACAGGATCGGGTGGTCAGGCTGGCTTGCTTAGTTGACACGTGTCATCAGTTCCAAATTGCGAAGATCAATGCTCATGCTGTTGATCACTGGATTGTCTCGTCCAGGCTCAATTATTTACAGACCGCCGCCATATAGCTGGAATATTGCTGAGTGCGGCATAAAACTAAACTCACTCACTCACTCATTTGCACATGGCATTGACATATAAAACATGGAAGCTAATGAAAAGAACAAGCTCCTACTCCCATATGTATGAACGTATCTGATAATTTTCAAAACATTTTCTGAAAACTTTGCTTATGCTTCTTGTATGCAGGTACAGTGTGCAGAAATACAGAAATACAGACATTATTTGGGAAGAGATTTTTATGAATAGCATTCATAATTGAGGACATTGTATCTGTAGCATACAAAGTTCTGTCACAGATATATTAATGGTTGCAGGTGGGAGGGAATCTGGTGCCAGAGAAGTTGACGCTGCACAGAATGAGGGATTTACCTGCTGGATATCACCTGTATGACTGTGTCTCAGGTGAGTTGACTAAGCAGTCATGTGTTAATGGGGATGTCGATGATTTCGTAAGAACAGAGTGACGCGCTCACTGCTGAGTTGATATTTTTAACCACTCACTGCTTGGAGGTGAGAGATCATGTGTATCTCTTTTATAGCCCTAACAAAGAGACAAGGATGAATATGTTTTTCATTTGGTACTTTTTATATCTGGCAACATGGACCTTCTAGGTATATGGCATACCACTTAATATCCTGGCACCAATTTTAATGACTTTTGAGTCCTTCAGTTTTAACCACTGATAGAAGTTTATCACTCTTAGATTTTAATGTAGAAAATCTATGACTCAAGTTTAGGGCTACATATTTTATTTATCTATCACTCTTTGCAAGAAAAAGGTGAAACGATGTTAACATTGAAAGTTTGGAATCTGTGTGAGAAAAACGTATCATTGCTTCCAGTGTAACACTCAACATCCCAATACTAAAAGATTCATAACATAGTCCAGCGACTTTCAGAGTAACACTTTTTGTAACAAATAACAGGAGAGTCATGAAAAACTGAATTTTGATTTATTGAGTGATTGCATTAAGGAATTGTCATAACATAGTTGTCACTTAAAAACCCCATCTGGACTAGGATTTAACATGGCTTGGCATCCAAGAGGTAAGGTGGCTTGTACTCCAGATGTCTCTGTTTCAGATGAACCTGAGAAGCTGATTTCATCCTTGAACATCGACAACAATGCCAAACTGTTCGTGTGGGATGGTGAACTGGTGTGTACTGCATTATTTTCTCATATTTCTGTTGATTTTTAGATGATATTGGACCGCCTCCGTGGTGTAGTGGTTAGAGCGTCCGCCCGGTGAGCGGAAGGTCAAGGGTTCGATCCCCAACCGTGTCATACCAAAAGACGTTAAAATATGGTCTCTTGTTGGTCTCTACCTGGCGCTCGGCATTAATAGGTACAACAAGGACTGGTCGGCTCGGGGTCAGTATAATGTGTCTGAGTGGGGTATTCATGCTTCACTGTGGCATGGTATCTCAGTGGGCTAGCACTATAAAACCAGCTTAAGTCTTGGCAAGTACAAGCAGCCGCATATACACATACACACGCATGCATGTCGTCATATGAGAGAAATATTCTCAAGTATGACTTGAAACCCAATTTCACCTCACCTCACCTAGTTGATATTTGCTACATGGACAAGATGTACCAGGATGGTAAGAAATAGTGAGAATCTTGGAACAACTGAGGGAGGCAACACTGTAAATTTCTGTACAACCAATAGCAGTGACTGCTATATCTTCCATATATGCCAGTTTTGGATAATATTTCTACAGATAGAAACATAACCATGCAGTTCAAAATGAAATGAAAATGCTATTATATTGCTGTGGTATTTTATAAATTAAGCAATTTCAGAGAGCATGTCTTCTACATCCAAAAAGGTGCACAATAAACAAATATATTTGTGGTTCTTGGTTAAAGTCCAAAAATTTAAAGCCAAAGGAAATCTGACTTCTAACTGACGCCATTAACACCTATAGCTTATATTTGTGCAGTTGAAGCTCACTCAAAACTTACTAAAGCCCTTACAAAGTATGATTCAGAGATATTCATGATCAAATGGCTTCTCAGCATTGGATTGCTACAGTGCTACCTAGCTGTGGCAATGTGCCACAATATTGAGGATAATTTTTCATGTCATTAGCCAATGGTTTGTCTGAGATGACATTATTCAACAGGATTTAGTGATATAACTATGATATTACTGACTGTGCTGTAAAACAACATGCACTCAATATTTACACATCTTTTGTGTACAGGTGGGAGGGGGGTCTATCCCTACTGGTCCCGAATGTGAGCCCATCTATCTGACTATCGTCTACGGCAACCCCTCAAAGTTTAGCTGCGGGTTTTCCAAAGACATATCCTTTGCTGCCTTTAAATCGTCTGTTTGTGCCTTAACTGGAATACAAGAGTCAGATCTGACTCTAAAGAAGATGGTTGGATCCGACCTGTCTCCTGCCTTTCTTTCCCTGAATGACGAGGATGTTTCCTTGCCCCTGGCTGTTCTGAACTTCCAGGATGGAGATAGTGTTGTTGCTGAAGACAAGACAATTCAAAAGTGAGTTTTATTTGGCGCCATGTTGTTTTGTTGTATTGCTATTTGTCTCTATATTCAGGTTCAGAGGGGGCGGTGGGACAGCCTAGTGGTTAAAGCGTTCGCTTGTCACGCCAAAGACCCGGGTTCAATTCCCCACATGGGTACAATATGTGAAGCCCATTTCTGGTGTCCCCCTGCGTGATTTTGCTGGAATATTGCTGAAAGCGGCTTAAAACTAAACTCACTCACTCACATATGTTACATTTGACCAATTTCTAAATGGCATTGTGTATTCATACTTTACAACTCTATCACATATTATTTCATTGTGGTTGTTTCAATTGTAAAAACTTTGAGGTATTGAAAACTATATCTTTGGTGTGGTTATGGATGATTGTGAAAAAGTGTTTCATGCTTTCAAGATTTTTTTCCTTTTCACTTGTGTCCATTATTCATTTCAGTGGTGCTGTAACACACATGGCTGCGAGCAAGGAAATACAGTTTACCGTGTTCGTGGAAAACAGATGTGTTCAGGTCAGGTCTAGTTATTTGTATTACCTGTGTGTTGTTTATGAAATATCTGATGTTTTTCTGTGAATCTGTGTGACACTTCTGTACAGTAATGTCTTGATGTATTAATGGACATAATTGTAGATTTCTCAGCATTGTTTCTTATGGTAAATATTAAACAGGTAAATCTACTACTTTTGTGCAAAATACAAATAAACACACACGCATGTACGCACACACACACTCATACACACACACACTTTTTTTCAAGAAAGTCTGACCAGTTTTACAATAGTATTTTTCTAACAAAACACAAGTTTAAGAACTCCACCAATTGACAGATTGTGTGCTGCATCATAAATTAAATATAGAGATGTGAAAAAACTTCATTTAATTCTTTTGCGTAATAATGCTCATTGATCACTGTATTGTGTTGTCTATCTGATTATTTACCATAACAAACAAACAAATAACACTGTATTTAAGTTGTTGACTGCATGTCCAGGTGAGCTATTATGGAGTGGCCAACCAACCAACCTTTGAATAAAAATGTTTTTATTTTTCTTCAGACTGAGTGCCGTTGGACAAGACAAATACAAGTGACAAAGGACATGGTAAGTGATGGCTGGTGTTTCCTGAAGGTAGTGACGCCTACTGTAGTGACGACATCTCCATCTTTAGGCTTTATACAGTCGAGCACCGTTGTGTCGAACTCTGATAACTCGATATCTCGGTTGTCTTGATATAACATCTCGGTCCCGGCATAATCCTTCATAATTCATTACTATTCAAGCTCATTTAACTCGATACGGATGTCTCAATATTTCGGATATCTCGATATAATTTCGCAGTCTCAACAAGCAAAATTACCCTTTTAACTCGATATTTGCAAAGAAACTCGATATTCACCTACCTATCATGGGCAAGTATCCCTCTGAACTGAGGTTGTTTCCACACGTTTACACACGGTGCGGCATGAATCAAAGGGATGTGGTAGTGTAAACTAATTAGGGCTAATTGAGTTGAAGGTGTCACTTGTTTGTTATTTAATTAGGATTAATTAAGCAGGAATTAATTAGGAAGTACTCACTGTTACGACTAAACACTACTGATAACGGATTATAGTTTCGAATGAAAACATACTGAGAATACAATGATCAGTCAGTTGTCTTGAAGTTCGGATAACTTGATATTTTTTCTTGGTCCCATGAATATCGAGACAACGGTGCTCGACTGTATATTAATGGATAACATCCATGGTTGAGTGGATGGAGTGTCAGCCTGGTGAATGGAAGTCAGTGGTTTGATCCCAAATTGTGGAATGCCAAAAGATGGCACTTGTTGTTACCCAGCCTCGCTCTAGGGATTGTGTGGATGGAACAAGGACTGGTCAATAATACTATATTACACAATATATATTATAGAAAATAATATGCTCGATCATATTCTGGTTGTTAATACTATATTACCAGTGAATGAAACAAGCCTAAATCCCATCCAGACATCAGGGCTGGTAACTTCAAAATGTTAACCAGACCAGACACCAAGATATGGTGAATTTACTCCGATGTATAGAACCTCAAAACATTTTATCAGACCATCAAGCTGGCTAGCTGTAAATGTGGACCGTCCGACAGAAATCTAGCCCATCTCGGGCGATCTGATTGGCTATATTTCCTAAACTGATATTACACAATATGTATTACAGAATACATAAAAAATACCTTTTGCATTTAGAATGCCATTTAAAAGGAGTGATTGTGTTACACAAATTGTATTAAAATTTGTGCCAAATAAATATTTATTGTAAGTGTTTTTTCCGATGACTTTATTTGCTTATTATTTTTTCTGTAATGTCGTTTTCAGACTGTTGGTGAGCTGAAGGTTTTGGCAGTTTCCAGTTTTAAAGAAGATGGCCTCCTTGATGGGGGACGCCTCCGCGTGGACCATCCAACAATTGGTCTGCGACCTCCACGTGAGTGCCTCTCTCTGTTGATCTCATCTGTCATTCTGTTGACTCTAGGTGGACAAAAGGATTGTCCGCACAAATGTATTGTCTATTCATTGTTTATTCATTTTACTGATTTATTGTAATTAACCAGACAGGTTATTAGGCATCAGTGTGTGTACATGTGAACAGTTCGCGAAAACACACCTGACAACAACTTACTTCGTGGAAAGCTACTCGATCATGAAAAAAGCATGCGTTTTGCCACGTGCAGGGTTTGAAGTGAAATTGTAGTTAGTTGGTTTCGATACGTTGATAAGGCGGCACGCTTTGAGATTGTCAGTTAGTGGTGCTCATTGGGTGTTAAATTGTTTGACAGAAGTTTAGTGTAATAGAAAGTTAGGAATGTAAGATATTGTAAGTGTAATAAAAGGTAAATTATGACAAATATTGTATTCTGATTTAGTGGTTTCGTTTGATATCACAACTTGTACAGTTCCTGGTGACCACTAGGTATAATAATCTTTAGACTCTTTTTGAAAACTATTTGTTATTTTTAACCTGACTAGACAAGACTTAGGTGAGGTGGGGTGAAATTGGGTTTAACGTCGTGCTTGAGAATGTTTCGCTCATATCACGACGTGCATGCGTGTGTATGTGTATGTGCGGCTGCTTGTACTAGCCCAGACTTAAGCTGGTTTTATAGTGCTAGCCCACTGAGATACCATGCTGCAGTGAAGCATGAATACCCCACTCAGACACATTATACTGACTCCGAGCCGGCCAGCCCTTGTTGTACCCATTAATGCCGAGCGCCAGACAGGGACCAACAAGTACCATATGTTAACGTCTTTTGGTATGACGCGGTCGGGGATCGAACCCGCGACCTTCCGCACTCCGGGCAGACGCTCTAACCACTACACCACGGAGGCGGTCGACAAGACTTAGGAATGTTAGAGACTATATTGTATCAGTATTCGGAATCCGTATTCTGGTAGGCATCCTCCAAGTGATACCATCATTGAAGCAGATTTGTTTCATTTATTGACTCAGCCAAAAATAAAACCATTTGAATGAATACCATCAACTAGGAATTGACTGACATATGTGTCATGATATGTGGTCAGGGAAATGTAACTTACTTCTGTTGTTGATATTCTGGAGAATCAGTAATGCAGTTAGGTGAGGATTCTTTGACGTTTCAGATTTGAAATTTTCTTGTCATTTTACATGGATGAATTATAAGGTACAAGCCAGATTTGTCAAGCACTTTACACATGTTATGTATATATGACTGTTGGGTTTGGGCATCTCTACCTGTGAAGATCCAGGTTAGAATTGGTCTTCAGTAACCCATGCTTGTCATAAGAAGCGACTAACGGGATCGTGTGGTCAGGCTTGCTGACTTGGTTGACACATGTCATCGTATCCCTATTGTGTAGATCGATGCTCATGCTGTTGATCACTGGATTGTCTGGTCCGGACTTGATTATTTACAGACCGCCGCCATATAGATGGAATATTGCTGAGTGCTGCATTAAACAACAAACAAACAAAAAAATGTTTCAGTTTCTTCTGGTCGCCATTTTGTATTATATTTGTGATTGTGGCCACTCAGATTTTATTGATCAAATGTAAATACTGACATACATAATATAAATTGAATTTAGACAATGCCGCTCACCATGTTCCAGCCAATCTGTCTTTAAAGGAAAACAGAAATTACCATCCCTTTCATGTTGCCATGTAATAACCACAAACAATCACTCATTGAGGCTGTCTAGTGAGTGGATTGTAAAAGTCTGGAAGGATATCTTCCAAATGCCTTCAAAAGATGTTATAGAGCGTAACAGTGTTCAGTTCAAGTCACAGTCTGGTTCTGGAACATGGATTTCTAGATAAACAGAGAATTTTGCACAGTAATCTTTAATTTTAGAGGTACTGGGTAGCTGTGTAGGTGTAGGGGTGTTTCCTGTTTAAGTGGGGTCCAGTCAAGGGAGGTTTCTCTGTATGCAGGTTATTCTAAGAGTGGTAAACATCCCACACTTGAAACAGTTTTTGTTTTATTCACTCAAACAAATCCATGGTAATTTAATGAAAGCAACAGTGCTATATATATATAATTTATTACCAACTGGAGCTAAATGCAGACCATGAAAAAATCTTGTTAGTAATGACAGTTTTTTAATAAACATGAAAAGACCAGACTTTATTAAAATTTGGTCTGTCGACTTCCCAAACTGGAAAATGTGAAAATTTATAAAATGAAAAGCTGTATATTATATATTCCGCCAAACAGATGTAAGTAAAAAGTTAAAAATTGAATGGTATACTGTCTGTAAGCCAGTCTACACATTGTTTCTGTCTACTTCCTCCTATTAAATTGACATTTTGAACACTTAAGTTATGTTTGAAATTGGAATTTTTCAACCTGTCTCCTTAATTGTTTGGCTGACTTGATAGAACAGAACAGAACAGAACAGAATAGAATAGAATGAGAGAGACCTGTACCAACAATGGAAGGAAAATGTTAAACTACTCTGAATAAATGACATTACAGATAGGTTAACATTAAAAGATCTGAGTTTCTGGATGAAGACATTGTTGATACTTGATGTATAGGGCTTCAGTGCTAGAGTTCCAGGTCAGCTTAGAGTCAATGAAGATACTTATACTCCGACACTGTCTCAACACATTCACTGTTGATTATCACTGGAAGCATTTTGTGGGCTTACTCCGAAAGTCAATTATCAGTTCCTTTGTTTTTGTGACATTTAAGAGTGAGTGGTTTTCTGCACACCAAGTCGTGAAATGATTAATGTCCTCTTCATACAGTTCTTCAGAATCAGTGTCGCTCAGTTTGACTAGACTATGTCCCAAGACAAACACTAAGTCATTTTATCATCTTCACAAACGTTGATAATTTAGGAGACTTTCTTCACATTTTCCCTGACTTAAACTTGACACAGGCTTGATGTCACTCACTCACTCTTTCATTAGCTCCACAAAATTTTATAAAATAGGAGACAAGAGACTTTCTTCATTTTCAGAAACTTTATGAAAATTCATTGCTCTAGACTTGAAAATGTGGACATGCACAGGCTTGGTCGGATATATTTGTTTCACGGCTATATGACAGACTCATAATCTTGTTGACCCTTTGTGCTGTGGTCCTTCTCACCTGCCTCACTATACTGCCCCTGCCCCATTATACTGCCCCTAGTGGTGTGCATCTATTTATAGCCAAGTATATCCGGTCTTGCGTAGAACCAGTTGTACTGACGTGTGATCCACGTTCTTTGTGACTGAAATATCATGATAGACTTGATTTTATTAGAAAATACTCCAAATACTGACTTGTCTATACATTTTAGAACAAACCACATTGAAGATTGTATCTTTAAGTTTATACTGGTATTATTCTGAAATTGAAGTCTCTCTGTGGGAATAAATTACCTGTATTGAGAAACATCACAACACCATGGATGTATTAGACATGGTGTGGTGTAAAAGAAAATTCCAGGGTTATATCGGTATCGCTTCTCGGCCTTTTGGCTAAGATCAAAGTGTAGTATCTGTTCTTATCAGCTTAATATCTGATACGTCCCCCATTGGGGGACATCGATATTAAACTGATTTTTGGAACTCGGCGAAGAGTCAGGGGCTTGCTCCGCCTTTGCCACGGGTTGACCTGGTATTGCAGTACCTCCAGGACCGGCCCACTCCCCCTGGGGAGAAATAAATAAATAAAGAATAGACTCCCAATGCCTCACCCTAACAGCCAACCCTGCCACTACCCCCTTCCTGATGTTGAATAAGTATGCCCCACCCTAACAGCCAACCCTGCCACTACCCCCTTCCTGATGTTGAATAAATATGCCCCTGCCACCTTCCACAGCCAACCCTGCCCCCACTACCCCTTCCTGATGTTGAATAAATATGCCTCTACCCCAAAGCCAACCCTGCCACTACCCCCTTCCTGATGTTGAATAAATATGCCTCTACCCCAAAGCCAACCCTGCCACTACCCCCTTCCTGATGTTGAATAAATATGCCTCTACCCCCAAAGCCAACCCTGCCCCCACCCCTTCCTGGTGTTGAATAAATATGCCTCTTCCCCAAAGCCAACCCTGCCCCCACCCCCTTCCTGATGTTGAATAAATATGCCTCTACCCCAAAGCCAACCCTGCCACCACCCCTTCCTGATGTTGAATAAATATGCCTCTACCCCAAAGCCAACCCTCTCACCCTAACAGCCAACCTGCCACTACACCCTTCCTGGTGTTGAATAAATATGCCCCCACCCTCACAGCCAGCCCTGTCACCCCACCCCTTCCTGGTGTTGAATAAATATGCCCCACCCTAAAGCCAACCCTGTCCCCACCCCCTCCTGGTGTGGAGTAGATAATCAAGGGAGAGATCCCTCACAGCTAGTCTGTCTCACAGTCCCTGAACCACATTATTTCCCTACTGCCTGTAGCCCTCCCTACAATGCTAAAGCCCTAAATGAAGCAAGTCTAGATTTCCCCAGGTTCTGAATCTCCCAACTCAATGGGGCTCCTTTTCAATTTAGATGGGATTATTTGTTACTATCAAGATGATATATATTCAGAGACTATGGATTAGTCTACCTCACAGCCATCTATTGCAGCCAAGAAAACATTTACAACCAAGGTATGAAATTCCCAAATTTTAGCCGGACCACTCTGCTTGTTAGATGTAAAACTGTCCAGCCCTGACCAAAACTTACCTGCCCACAAAATATCTTCATATACATGTCTAAATTTTAACCCGACTGTCGGGCTGGTGAATTTGAGAATCTGGCAGTCCGTGTTGAGAAAAACCCATCCCGGGCGGTAGGGCAGGCAGGTATTTTGAACGCTGTTATAACAATACACTTCCTACTGATTTACTGTCACTTATACATGCTCAAAACTGTTTACTTTCCTATTTCTCCTTACCCCATTGTCTTTTCCTACCAACTTAATATTTTGAGGCAATAATGTATTTTTATTTCATTAAAAATT